GAGCGAGAGTGCGCGCGCCTGCCCGAATGTTCCGGAGGCGTTCCCTGTCGGAACCGAAGACGCCCCCCTCGTTGTCCCAGAGCGCGAACACAAAGACACCACAGGAGCAGGAGCGTGAGGACGCGGACAAGGAGCGTCGGCGTATTGCCGTCACTCGACACATCCTGCAGCTCTTTCCGCCGGAGAGCCTGTCATTGCTCGCTTATCTCTTCGCCTTCTTCACGCAGATTCCTCTGTGCCCAGATAACGGTCTCTCGTACGAAGACATCACACGGATTTTCGCTCATCGTCTGCTCGGCGGGCCCAGCAAGAATGCTGCGAGATCGCTTATGATGTGGTTGCTCAACCGCTGGAATGCTATATCCGAAAATCCACTCGGCGGCGACGAGAATGATAGCGATGCGCTCCAACCAAATTTAGTACGACGCATGAGCTCAGGACGCTTACGGCATTTGTCTTTGCCACCCCAGTGGAGCGAGGGCATACTTACACATGATGACAGTCTGCAAGTCCCGTCATATGCGACACCTTCTGGACGGCCGTATTCGTCGTCGGTATCGTCCGACACATCGTCGAGTACTGCAGAATCTATGGAGAGTGAAGACGAGCCCAAGGCGCGGGGCACGTTGGCGTACAATATGCAAGACATGCACGAGAGGAAAGCTGCATATGAAGCACACCTCGGCCTTCCAGACGACGACTATTATGGGAAATCTTCTGTTCAGGAGCACGGCTTTGTCACGACGCCTCTTTCCGGTGAGTAACGCTGAATGTTGTTGGATTACCCCGTGTCCTTATAAAGGCCGTATCTTAGATGAACACGACTTTCTACGACTACTTCAGGAAGGAGAAGAATGCATTCGAAAGCGATTCCGAGAGCATTTGTTGAACAGGTAATCACACACCTCTTTTCATTCACCGTCATCGGTATGTCTGACAAGGCGCCGTGTATGCAGATATGGATGAACTGTCTGCTCTGAGTGCAGAGCAAACCCCGCACGTCTCGAATGATTTCCCGTCGGCTGTCGCCTCGTCGAATCACAAGCTCTCCTCCGCGTTGCAACGCATATCGGAGCTCGAGGCAGAGCTGCAGCGCACGCGAGATTCACGAACGTCTCTGGAGGACGTGCTTTTGCCCGATTCCACGACTACGGGCATGCATCAGAAGCTTCGAAATGAACTGTCCGACGAATCGCCGGAAGGAATCGAATACATGCGACGCGAGACAGCGCAGAAGCAGCTGGAAGTTGCTTCGAACGAGCGAAACGACGCGAAGAAGCTTCTCCAGGTTTCAAGCAGTTGATTGATGAGGTTTGCTGCAGTGATGTTCTCGAGGTAAACGTGTACAGCATATTTCATTTATCTCGCATAGGTACCACTAGGATAGAGAAAGAACATATTTACTCCAACAACCGATTGCGCTACTGTTGTACCGGATCGACGTATCATACATGATTATTACTATACATGGCATACACGGGATCTCTTTGGTCTGTTGAGACGTCAACTTGGCAAGCGATCGGAGGTGGTTTAGTGGGCGTAAGAAAAAGATGGTCAATGGCGCTCCCCAAGGGCGCACTACGGCGTATGATCGCCACGCGCGATAGCACATAGATAGCCCGCGTGAGCCTTCTCCAAATTCCCCATCTGCGCAGACTGTGTGAATGGCCTTTTGAGCCGCTATGCAAACTACGAACATGACGTGAATACACTGAGTATCGCAAACGTATCCGCGGACGCACCATGACAGTCTGGGGTAAGTTGTTCACTGCATCCCGTAGATTGTTGAATGTCATATCTGCATTGTATAGCCTCCTGCGGCAAGAAGGGCATGTCGCCTCGATTACTGAGAGCACCTCCGGTGCGATGAGTTGTGCGGCACTAATTGTGCGACCGAATGGAGCCTCATCTGCACGCGATAACCATAACTCCTTCAAATTCCTCCACTGAGCATGATCAGGTGATCGTCGGCAACCTTCGCAGTTTTCTTTGGTATTGGCAGCAAATCGGGTAACATCGTTCAGTGCTTTCTTCAGTGCGTCTTTCCCCTGTCTATGCAGTAGGAAAAGTTGCGCTGGGAGATACCCTTCCATGCGGGAAAGTTCTGCTATCACCGTTGGGGTAGATAGATCGAACGAAAGAGTGTATGATGATGCCAACTGCGCCTGCGCCTTCCAAGAATGTGCGCCTGCAAGGCGATAAACTCGCAGTGCGGTTGATTCGGATAGATAGCTGGTGATCATGTTTCGTATAATGGAGACGGATCCTGGCATGTCATACTTCTCTGCAGCTAAGAGAATGGATTCTACGAGATCCAGCGAGCTTAAATCGGGCAGTTCCATTCCAGAAATCACCTGTAGAAGGGGCATGAGCACCGTTGAATCTTCGTCCAGGTGAAGGACATCGTCTGAGACGGTGCCAGGACCTTGGGGCAAGCTGGACATTGCAGCGAACCACCCTGAAACGCGCTTCAACGTGTATAGGTGAATGCGGAACAAGTTGGCATCCTGTGATGATAGTGTAATGGTGCCTGCATCCTCAGTAGTGAACAATGGATGCCAGTTGCTCTGATCAAGTACATAAATAAGCGACCGCCTACCACGATACAAAATGCGAAAGGTGCATACTACTCACACTGTGAACGGTGCTCATATTGTTCTGCATAGATGAGCTTGCACGATCAAAATCGTCGGAGGATTGGGCGCAAACTTAAAGGTTTGAGATGGGAAGCACATGACAATGCCCGATGTGCGATCTGGGGCGTTATGACACCTCGGTTGCTGGGTCATCTAGGGCCGTGATAACGTTCTGAAGCGGGAACGATGGCCACTTTATATCTTAGATGCGACCTTACGGCGATGATGGCAGGATGTGTGGCCTTTGAAGATGCTCAACGATGAGAATGATGTCGCGCGCCAATTTGCTAGAGGATGCTGCCTGGAGACTCCTTCCCACGCCACATCCATACTCGAGGTGGTGGCATGATGTCGCTGAGCAGCAGCACACATGTGTTTGGAGTGCATCGCAAGCAATGGCAAAGTGCGTCCATCATGGACACGATGTTTACGTGAAGACCTCGGCTTCGTGCGTTGTTATTGGCGATGCCAATGCGCAAGGTTCCGTGAGGCGCAACCTTGAAGTTCGATCTAACTTATGGAACTAACAGCTGCTTTATTCTCTAGCCATGCTTTCGCATTGGTCTTACGTTCAAAATAGCCAACAACAGAGCTCTATAACGGAAAAAGAAACTCCACTCGAAATCACTCTGCGTACAGCTGCTCGAGCACCGTGTTCTTCGCCTCAAGCGCCGCCTGCGTCTAGGGATAGGAAAGCTGGTCCGCTGACGTCTGCAGTGGTAACCGCGTCTCGTCGACAAATGTGAGCACTGCGAAAACAAAAACCCAGGATCAAGTCAGAGCACATCCTCTCCTGCTTATGATCTGCTTCAAGCAGCCCCAGCGATCCAGTATACAGGTGATGTTTGCGGATGCAGCAGGAGTACGCGGTCATCTGTGAACTCAGATATCGTGAATTGGCCATAACCCAAGAGGCCGCTGTTTCGAACGAAAAGTGTGAGTTTCATGCCCAATGTTATTCCTGAAAATGCATGCTTACCTGAGGCCTCCCATGGGTCCTTCGCCGTGCACCGACTGTCCGTTGATATTGATGTATCCTGTAGTTCAGGACCCATCATGATTGTGAGCACTTCAGTTGAAAACATATGTGCCTTACCTGCCCGGACGCGCGGAGCTATCTCGAGCGCGGTGTGGATGTTTTGAGTCCACAACCCTGCCATTAGGGAATAATCGCATGTATTCGCCAACCGCACTGCCTCGTCGATGGTATCCACTGCGGTCAGAGTGACGACTGGAGCGACGACGCTAAATAAAGGGGTCTGTCTATTGTTCATCGAGCACTGCCTCACCTGGTCTGAAGCACTCCTCATCCCAGAGCGCCATTCCTGGTTTGACGTCGGCGAGGAGGTGTGGCTGGACCACTGAGGTTTGTCTGGCCATGTCGCCGACCAGAATACGCGCGCCGGCGTCCTTTGCCTCACGGATGATCTTGAGCACGCGCTCTGCTGATTCCTCTGATATTAATGATGATAATGCCTCGTCAGGTCCTCCGGCTGAAGGAACCAAAGCTTTTGACCAGAGAGGAGGTGAGAGAGCGTAGGACACCACGCTGGACGATGACATGTTGAGTCCACATGCATATTTGGCCGGAATTCATCAGGCCGCCGGTGGTGATTGATTGTGCTGCAGATTCGAGGTCTGCGTCCTCTAGGACCTGCGAACGATGCTGAGGATTTTGAATTTTTAGATCAGACGGGACGTTGCATACGATGACGGGGCAATTGCCGCCGAGCTCCAGCACATAGAGCTTCAGGTGCTTCACAGCCTCCATTGCGATGGCTCTGCCCACATTCGGACCGCCTGTGAACTGTTCATTCACAGATGTGAGCGGAAGCTTGTACCTGAAAGAGAGTCTCTTACGTTGATCTTTCGTAAAGCTGGATGATCGATCATCTCCGCCATGCGCTTGCTGATGTCCTCCTCCGCTATGGAGATGGTGTTCAAAACACCTTTTGGCAGACCCGCCTGTCGATCCATCATTTAGATATCGACATGAAGACAGAACGGTGCTTGTGCGTACCTCCTGGAATATTTGGCCAATGAGACTTTGAATTCGAGGGCTGACTGCAGAGCACTTCAGCGCGACTGTATTGCCACAGATGATAGGAATGAGAACGGCTCGGAAAGCCAACGCCAAGGGCACGTTCCATGGCGCGAGCGCAAGGCTGTTACATGGTCCGATGAGTGAGTGGGAAAGGCCATTCGAGGACCGCTTTTCGCGTACATGACTCCCATGGCTCTTTTCTGTATCATCATCTGCCCGCCAGGTATCAAGGAAGGCTTGACCTCTCCCTTGAGCTGATGGACCAGCGTGGCATTGTGGCGCAGGTTGTAGACCGATGCCATCACCTCGAAGCCTACCATGAAATCGGTAAACGCCAGCTCTTCCTTCAACGCTTTGGAGATTTTCTCTTGATACTTGGGCGTCATGAGGAGCTCTGAAGCTTTGATGAATACGTCTTGCCTTTTGGTTAGAGGCGAGTGCTCCCAGTCAGGGAAGGCAGCGGCGGCCGTGTCGATGGCGTCGTGACAGTCTTGGCTGGAGGCGGCTGCTGCGTGCCCTATGACGGCTTGCGAGTACGGGTTGTGCACGTCATATTGCGCGTCGGTGCTCGCTGGACGCGATGTCCCATCGATACAGAGGGGTGTGAAGGCAATCGACATATTGTCAAGATGTGATAGGTAATGGTGATGAGAGCGCTGTCTGCAGAGATGTCTTTTAATCGGTCAGCGAACTGCGGTCAAGTTGGGGATATTTAGAGGCAACGTGGATGACTTCGATTGGGGCTCGCTTCCCATAATTTGATGGTGAATGCTAAGATAAAGAAGGCGGCATCTGAGAGATCAAGGAATCGGGTTTGAGGGTGTGTGATGTGCTGCTTCTTTGTGTCGTCTTGATACATGCTCGTGGCGATCATAGATCAGCACGCGACTTGTTCGCCGGAGAGCTGTTATCCGATCTGTTGCGCAGACAAACATTCATGGTATCGTCGATCAATATGAAACCTCTGTGCATAGTTCGTCGCAGGCTTTGAAACTTGATAAGCTACACACGATAGTTCAACGATGAGGATGCATGAGAAGGCACAACGTCCGTGTGCGTCTAGAAGCATTTGCGGGTGAAGCTGCAGGCCGCTGATCGATGACCAGTCGTCTGGAAGCAGCGTTGGCGGGTGCAGGTGGGCATCGTCGTGCTGGAGGCTCTTGTCGTGAAGGAACATGTTCGGAGAGTTGTCCGACGGCAGCATCGGCGGCGGATGAACATAAGATGGAGAGTTTGTGCACTTGTCTGGGGGCAGCCTCGGCGGGCACCACAGCGAACTGCTGTTGTTGCCACGAAGCATGTTGTATGAACTGTTCAGGTCGTACGCGAAGTCGAGCGACGAGCGCTGCGACTTGCGAGCTCGATGATGTCGGCAATGTGTACGAGCCCACATACGAGACGAAAGATGTCGCGGAGCACGGGGGCTCCGATGCCGAGTCGCTGCTCATGCGGCGCCGCTGAAACATCCTCGTCTCAGTGATCGTGTTGTCCATGTCCGAGTAATCGCCGGAGAATGGGAGCGCATCCGCCGGCACACTGTTTGTCTGCGCGAGATAATCGGGATGATAAGGACCAGGGAAGGAGTACGATGATCCAAATAACGCGATGCTGTATGTGCTGTTCTGGCTAGCTCTGATTGCATCAAGGTGTGGTATTCGACTTCCTCGTGGCTGCTGAACATCTGCGTCGTCGAGTCAGGTGGTCAGGGAAGGTTAGCTTCCATAGCTAGGCCGCGCAGAACCATGCAGCTTGTAGCTAGTGCATGGAAGGTGGTCAATCGGGCATTTTTCAGAGGCCGAGGCGAGTACGAGCAGGAGATAGGGAAGTAGGTACGCACTAGACAAAGGATCCATTCAATTATATTGTAAATTTTGGTGTGTAAGGAACACTCCATGAATGCAATACGCACCTTACTCGGCAGGATATGTGTTTGCAACCTGCGAGCTTCGTGACGCGACTGAGAGGTATATGGGACACGAGTGCTTGATTGGGATCTCGTCTCTATTCAGCACTGACAGTTGCAGAATCGCAGCAAATGCATGTCCATGGACGGCAAAAGAGTCCTCCATCTCTTCCGCGCAGATCTAAGTAGTTTGAATTGATTTTACGACAGTGCAAGGAAAGAGTCAAGCCAGACAGACCCACCACGGTGAGGTCTTCACTGTGCAAGAGCACATCTCCCGGTGGCACATGGACCATGCACGAGTGGATATCGCTAATGCACGCGAAGCGGGTCCGGTGCGGAGATGGAACGGGAGGAGAATTCGTGCTATCGAACTCCAGATGGACGATGGCAGTGGCGCTGCACAGAGTAGTTTCAGAGTCGCAGGTGCTGGAAGGTCATTGCGGCTGTCACGCGATGGAAATATTAATGAGATGCTGAAGAGCGGACCAATGCCAATAGACCTGCAAGCCTGCTCCAATTCTGGCTGAGATACTCCCACGATCGACTTCGGCACTTTCGCGTACGCCCTCCAAACAGGTTTCTGCACTACGAGGTCTACCCGCTGCATCCATGCTGTCAAGCGGTTGTCAAGCAGGGGATAGCAATCCGCATCATGAGCAAATATAGTGCATTCCGCTCAACAGCGCATTGCGCTATACACTCCTGCCATCCGCAGTTCAGACGTTGCCTATAAGTCGGTGTCTCCAAGTCTAGCGCTCCTGAATGGGACTAATCTGATTCTATATAGAGCCAAAGGAGGAGGTCGTGCTTGACCCATCATGGGGCGAGATTTGGGTGCGACTTCGGGTATCTGTGGCCATCAAGGAGCGCCGGCCTTCAATTTCTTGCGGTACGTCCTATAAGCGTGTATGCGCCATATCCTGACGTTCAGCAGCTGCTATGCATCGTGGTGTCAACATTCTCGTTCTTCAGCTGCCGATGGCAACTCAGTTTCATCTTGTTGCCTTCTGTAGATCTATTGCATTTACCGTGCATAATACTTTGCAGAACCACGACATTCGATTACGATTAATGAGCGCCCCAGCTCTGAAAATGTTTTAGGTCATTCGAATCACTGACATGATATATGATGGACGATGAAGCCACTAATGGACGTGCTATTCATGACAGTCGAACTATGTAGGCATGCAGATATGCAAGTTGTATACATGCCGAACGAGGGGAACGCAAACTGCCGTCCAAATCTTACCCTTCAGCCTGTCCATGGTCGCTCTGCATCGGAATACGCATCGTAAATCCCTCCCGCAGATACATCTTTGTCACCGCCAGATAGATGCTCTGTCGATCGTCCTCTCTGAAGGGCACACCGAGGTCAACGCGGAAGTCATGCCACGCGTAGATGATCCCAGCGAGAATCGCCGCCGTGATGAGGGCCCCAATCGACAAGTTCCATGACATGAGCACGGCAACCGGGCGAGGAAGATGACGATGTGCGGCATCGCGGTGTCCGCCCAGTGCGAGAAGCGCCGTGGGCCGCGCTCGGAGGCGAGGTAGCCAAGGGAGAAGGTGATGAGCTCGAGGTGCTTGGGCGAGAGGAGGATGGCGCCGCCGACGGCGATGGACCATGGGAGGAATAACAGGATTACGCTTCTGGCGGACCACGGGCCTTGTAATGCATTTGATAGAGCATCGGAGCAGGAAGGCGAGCTAAATTCGGGGAGGAGGTCCTCTGTAGATAGGTCGAGTTCTGCCTCACGAGCCCTACCGTCCGATCTGTGCAAGTTTGAGGCCGCGCTCTGCTCGTCCTTTGTAGAGAGCGTTTCATACACCTCCGACAGGCAATTTGATGCGATAAGTTATTGATCCTCACTCGCATTCATTATAGGCTCACCTGTCCAGATGGCCTCTCTTTCGAGACATTGATACCCTCCGCCTCTCGAGGTATGTCACACGAGGCATTTTGATGAAGAGTCACGAATCTGCTGTTGTTCACAAGACGAATAGCAATGGACTCACCGTAGCATCCTCAGCCTCCACGATGCCCATGTCCAAGTCTTGTGATGACACATCAGCATGGGCATGGAAGAATACGCAACAATCAAAGTGCTGATGAATCGAGGCATGCCACGGCCACTTCGTAGATCTTTGATACACAGAAGATCATTGTAGTCAGCATGCGGAAGCGTGCGGACAATCTGCCGGAAGGCAATCAAGAACCGTGGCATGACGTGCCATTTCGTAGATTTTTGAAACACAGAAAATCATTGTAGTCAGTTTCAGTCACGCCGATCGTATCCACGAAGATGACCGCGTACTGATCAGATACTACTAGTAGCGCAGCGCTGCGCATGCATCTCGTGGGATCCTAGCCTCTAGTGCCAATTTCACCCGCGTCGCTTGCACTCCCAAGGTCGACATTTCAGGTGGTCAAAAGAAACTAGATGATATAAACCCCCGGGGTGGGGCATTGATCATGCTGCATACCGACATGTCCACCCCTGTGGCCTACGAGGACTTCGCCAACGAAGAGGACGAATGGCACATCTTGTTGAACAGTCCGTCAAATGTTCCATACACGGACATGTATGCTCGATTGTTGCAGGTGTAATACAGCTGAATGATGATCATACCCTGATATTTTAGATGACTCTCCAGCCCGGCGTCTGTGAACGCTTTCCCCATATTGGCTAGATGCGCTTCAAAAGCGAAGGCGGAGCTGTTGCTAGCAATGGTTCAGCGAGCATTCAATGAACTGGGCACACCTGACCAGGAAAGCCTTGATTTTATCCACTGCATCGAGAGCAATGAAGCCTTGGCAAAATGTACCGACAAGATGTATGCGGTCTACGGCAGAGGTATCGGATTCATAACGTTTTCGTTCGCGTGAGTACCAACAATTTCTGTACCTCCTTCAAGATGAGACATTAGCTTGTTAGTCGCGATATCAAGCCAATGTTTGTTGAAGGCAACCCGGCAAAGTATCATTGCAGGTTCAGACGAGTGGAAAATCTGGGCCAGGCTGTGGTGTACCTACTCATGAAGGGGAACATGGAGCAGCTCCGTCGAATGGGTTTCGATTGGGTGAAGACCACAGCACACGGTGAGTAGCACGTTATATGGCGAAGTAACGGCTCAAGTTGTTGACTGGTTGTTTGCAGAGAAAGAAGCGGCAGCGGTAGGAGACGGTCTCGTAGTCTCGCTCACGTCTCGCGCCACTCCATCAATCACCAATGATGCGTCCATCAGCGTTACAGCTGTCGAGAGCGCCACGCGAGTTCCTTTGCCAGCGCCAGAGGTCCTGGCAGCTCTCCCGGCCAAGTCACCGTCGACCACGAGTATTGAGTCGATTATACTGCCGTCCGGAAGGCGGAAGCCAAGATGCCGGAAATGTCATCTCTACATTGAGGGGCACACTGAAGGAAGGTGCTTGGAGGCCCTGGCTGATCAGACTGCACTGGTGACCGACCAGTTCCAACGTCTCAACGTTGAGAGGTCGGCCATTGAGACCAGATCAGTTGCAGTGCCTGCCGTCACTCACTCGGCTGCGGCCTCCGGTTCAGCCCCTTCTCGTCCTTCTGCGCGTAGGAACTGAACTTATCATGATCATTGAATAAGGGGTAAGATTTCATTGGCAGTTTGCGTTCCCCTCGTTCGACATGTACAACTTGCGTATCAGCATGCCTACATAGTTCGACTGTCACGAATAGCACGTCCATTAGCGGCTTCATCGTCCATAATATATCATGTCAATGATTCGAATGACCTAAAACATTTTCAGAGCTGGCGCACTCATTAGTCGTAATCGAATGTCGTGGTTCTGCAAAGTATAATACACGGTAAATGCAATAGATCTACAGAAGGCAACAAGATGAAACTGAGTTGCCATCGGCGGCTCAACAAGAGCAGCCGGGGAAGCATCGTACATCGCGGACCTACTTCCGCGAAGGCATGAAAGCAAAGCTAAACTCATTCAAACGGAGACTGCGTGAGCGTATCCTCAAAGTTCGGCTGTGCCTTGGTCGGCGTCGAAGCCATAGCAACGAACGAGTTCGTGCTCGAGGACTGCGACGAAGACTGCTGGAAGTGCGCCACCCCAGCCTGCTCGGTACTAGGGGCGCGCTCAAGTGCGCAAGGACGTTGTTCGTGGTGCGCCGCAGCGGAGGTGGTGGGGGCTTCCGCGCGAGGGACGTGCCCGTCGCTCTATGAGTGATGGCAGGTTGATTGGCGAGCTGCGTCGTCTTCTCGACATCCGCGAGGAATCTCTGGGTGCGCGTCCGCGCAGCCTCCTCTTCTTCGTGGGAACTATCTGGGCCGCTGGACGAGCCGAACCTCCCATACATCGGGCTCCGGTTCTCTACGAGGTTGTGGTCGCCGAAGGGGTGCTCCTCGTGGTCGCTGCTCATCAGGTACTGTCTGTCCACGTCGTCGTTCCCGAGAAGCCTTCGCTCGCTCTCGTCGTCGGGCATGCGCATGAGCACGGGCGGAGGCTCCCGCCCACGATGCGGCTCATCGCAGGCGGAGGCGGCAGGATGGGCGGCGTAGACGAGATGAACTCTGTGTAGTTGGTGGGGAACAGTCCGCGCTTGCCGTACAGCTCGCCCATCCACCACCCGTCCAGCATCTCATTCACCACCGCGATCTGGTCCCCGGCGCGGAAGCTCAGCTCGTCGTTGAGGTGGCAGTGAAGTTGTGTGTAGCTGCGACGACTTTGCGGCCGTCCTTACTCTGCGAGAGCGACTTAGGCGTGTGCATTGGGACTTTAGGCGACGGCGCGGGTGTTGACGACACGCTCTTGTTCTTGTGATACTTGTTCTTCCGTTGGAATGACAGCGCACTCGAGAGACGGCTGTTCTCACTGTCGTGAACACTTTGCGCGTCGCCATCGCTACGGTCAGAGTCATCCTTGAGCGCGGCGAAGTTCTCCTTGTCCTTCTTCCCTCGCCCGGTTACGGAGCTGACAGCATTGGCCGCGCTCGATGCCCATACCGCCACGCTCGTCCGATTGCGCGGCTTCTCACTTTCTGACTTGTCGTTTGCAGCGCTGTCTGCACGGTCGCGAGACGCGCACGATGACGGACAGAACGGAGGACAAGATGGCGAGCGTGAGGCCTGTTTGGTGCTCGCCTCGGACTTGTGCCGTGTCAGTGAGAGCCCTCGTGAGCGCTTGGGAGCGACTCGCTCCTCGTCGTCAGAATTTTCATCTGAGTCGCTGTGCGTGGATCGCCTGGCTGAGGATTCAGACTTGGTGGAGCGGACGGATTCTAAACGCGAAAGCTCTGGCGGCTGAGTGAACATATGCATGGGTCCTCTCGGTCGTGTTGTTTCCAGACGCGTAACGGTTGCCCTGAGGTGACACTAGCCACGCATTAATGATTGAATGCTGTAAGATATATCACCAAACACACACTCGTCGATCCAACCAGCCTTGACATCTCGCAGCACATCCAGATACCGCTCGACATATTTGGTCTGCAGATCAAGAGAATCGGTCAGCGCACGAAGCTGCGCGACCTCGTTCTCTTGTATGGCATGCATGCGAGCTCACACGTCCTCGGCCATTTTTTCGCCAAGGATAGCCGGAAACAACACCTTCAGCTGGCATGTCGAAAAAGACAGATAAGGAGGACATACGACGGGGGAGGGGGCGGGAGCGGCAATGGTGGTGGATCGAGCAGGCTGCAGGTGGGACGGAACCTCGCTCATTGAGCGCTAAACGGAGGCTAAGCGCTGACTTATCTATGCTCATGTATTATTAGTCGTCTACTAGCGGCTCTCATTTGACAAATCCATGCAGAATGGTCATGTCTCTCGTTATATGTACGCAGACCAAGTACGAAACATTTGCGTAATAAATTGATGACCGAAGCCTGAATTTGGAGCATATTTACAGCGAATTTGACTTCAAGTGTGACGATGATTGAATTCGGACCAGCTCTCCACCACTGATTGTCGCCGTTCTTCGACTGCCTCAAGTGACTTAGCCCTGCCCAGAATACCGGGATACGTCGGGTACGGATAATACGGCTGCGTGAGACTCGTAGTGAACGTCGTCGTCGTCGTGCTTGTCATGTCGGTGACACCAAGATCGTCCGTGGCTGTCAAAGTGTGAGTGGAGGTGGTAGTGCTAGTGGTGGATGACGTCGTGGTTGTTGTTGTCCGTGCGACGCGCGTGATGGTGGTGGTGGTAGCGGCTAGGATTGGGCGTGCCTGTCAGCCTCGCCGGTAGACAATGGAGGAAACGTACCTGCGTCTGCGCCTCGCAGCGTGGTGCACGCGAGCAAGGATAGAATGAGTGTATGAGAGGACACAACAACCCATATTATGCCATCTTCAACTGCTTCCCGCGAGCCGTGTTGTTACGGCTGGAACAGCTGATACGACTGATACGGCTGATAACCCCCAGCTGACACATACACCGTCTGCGTAGTGGTTATAGTCAAAGGTACGGTATCTGTCGAGTCGTACGCGCTCATCGTAGTGATCGTGGTGGTGTTTGTAGTCGAGGACTCGAGGTAGATGTAACATCGACCGTGCGTGTGCGAGTGCTTGTCGAGGTCGTGGTGGTTCTAATGATTGCTGCATAGGCCGTCTTGTGCATCAAAGACGACGGGTGGATGAAAGGGGCTTACCACAGTCGGCTACGAATGGCAACACAGCGGTGAGGGCAACGAGGATGATGGACATACAGAACATTGTGAATGCAATGGGGGTTTTGGGTGCCTCATCCGTTGTATCGATCTTGTATATGACAGAGCCATCCTTTTCAATGCCTTGCACGACTTTCTCCAATACAGATCGATGCGCCTGAAAGCGAACGGATCAGTGGCCAAGACTCGTTAAGCGCTGGAAGTGGATCTAACCCACGGATTCAAATTTGGACCCGCACAGCGCCACTGACCGTGAATGTCGGGTTGCAATCGGGATGAACGGTTCATGACGTACCTTGCGGGGAACCAGAATGCGGAATGGAAGAGTGTCGCGTTGATGAGCGCGATCCGCTTGGATACGCAATGAGACACGAGAGGCGGCGCGGTTCTACCTAGATAGGTGCAGATGACCGCATATATCGTGCACACAATTCTAATCCACTCACCAGCTCTGCTATCGCCGTGTCGTCGTCGCATTCTTCATCATGGTCTCTATGAAGCGACTTTACACTCACTTTCTTCGAAAAAGCGGATTTCATGAACCAGGGCGCGTACCAGCTTGCAACGAAGTTTGATCCCCACCACGAACGCACCATCGGTACGTCTTCACATTCTCACCTAGTGAACACACCCTGACCTCGTCCATCTGACACAGGTGTTCTGACGAAACCCGACAAGATCGATAGGGGTGATGAAGACACGTGGCTCCGGATCCAGAGGAACGAAGACCCCGAGCGACGCCTCAAGCACGGCTGGTACATGGTCAAGCAGCCTGATACAATGCAGTTGAGGATGGGCATCACTTGGGAGGAGGCTCGGCAAAGCGAGAAGAAGTTCTTCCTTTCCACTCAGCCATGGGCGGCGCAGTCGCTGTCCATCCAGAGGCGTCTCGGAACGGAGCTCTTGACGCAGCGATGCGGCGACGTCCTGTCCGATTTGATTGCCACAAAGTGGGTTTTATGTTTTTGTATCGCATCACACCGAGTGATAGTCAGAATTCAGGCTCCCATGGATCCGCGACATGATCTATAGGACTTTGCAACAGACGGAGGCACAGCTGAAGGAGCTGCCGGGAGAACCATCCAAAGACCCCATTGGCGAGGTATACAAGCTCATCGGCAGGTTTTCCAAGGGCCTCGTCGAGCTACCTCGAGGGAACTCCAGGCCCGACTGGCCTGCTACAGATAATTCAGCCGAATCAGCAGGATTTTAGGAAGGCGATCCGCTCAACGGCACCGGACTTCAGGCCGTATGAGAGACCTGTTGATGAATCGGAAGCAGAGGCAGGTGTGTCGCCGGACTTCCTCGCGAACGAGGAGACGCCGTATACCCCGCCCACTGCAAACAGGCCATATATATCAACGAAGTCATGGAGCAAATTGCGCTGTATGTGTGGCAAAGGTTATTGAGCGACCCTGAAGTTGACGTTGTTTTCAGGGCGAGGACGCGCGAGTTGCCAGATTTCTTCCCCTTCGAGGTGATCGCGGAGTATGTTCACGCCATAGTCAGCAAGTGGCGAGAACCGACGCTGCAGCTCTTTGACAAGATTGAAAGTGTCCTCAATGGCAAGGTCAAAGAGTTCGTCAACGAGGAGTTCGCGCAGTGTCCATTGTTGCTCGGTCAAGTCACGTAGGTGCCCTCCCCATTCCGCCCGATTGCAGGACGCTGATGCATGTGGCACGAAGACTTGTTCTCACAAAGCACATCTCGTCTCGTTTGGAGGTGGCAAAAGAGCGCCTTGATTGGCTTCTAGAGATCGAGCAGAGGCCACGAACTTGGAACGAGCACTACTATCGCGACTACCGCGAGAAATTCCTGACACACTATAAGGGCTCGCGGCCAGAATATAGCAACATACCTCTCCTGCAGAAGTTGAAGTTGCACGAAGCCGCACATGACTCGGACTCGTCTCTTGCAGAGAGCATCAGCAAAATCACTGCAGGCTTCAGCGAGATCGGAATACATGGAGTCAAGCCTGCCGACTTGCCGAAGGCTCTGCCGTCTGACCCGTGCGAGGCCGCGATCAGCATCATGGCGAGCGTCCGTGCGTACTTCCAAGGTAAGCAGCTCGTTTTTATATATCAGACCATGCGTCCTAAACGGTCCGGGGGTTCATCGTAGTGGCGTACAAGCGCTTCGCAGACAACGTGCCTAATGCGATTGACCACGAGCTGATCCTCGGGCTCAACCGCGAGCAGGCTGTGGTAGCGGTCCTGCATGAGACCTTGGGAGTGGGCAGCTCAGACGGTTTCAGGCTGTGCTCAGAATATGTGAAAGAGGATAGTGTGATCGCGTTGCGTCGAGAGGAACTTAAGCACAAGAGGGATAGGCTGCTGAAGGCGCAAAAGGCGCTTTGGAACTTGGAAACTCCATATGACGCTGTTCCTGTGCACCGTAGATACATTGTTGGAGTTGACAGATAGATTTTTCGCAGATGCTCAGAGGATTGAACTGACGCGTCAGTGGCGCATAGTTGGCTCGGCGTCCGCCGAAGCACTTGCCCACGCCATACCCACGTCCTGGCTCTGACTCTGTCCCGCACATGGTCGAATTGCTCCATGTCGACCAGGAGCACGAGCTCCCTCATGTAAAGCCGCTTCTCACTGCACTGGCTGGCCGCACACTTCTTGAAACTACTGAGTGTTTTTCAAATATGCAGAGCGCCGGATTGTGGTCGGATCGCCACGGTTAGCACCGCGGATCAGCTCGCGAACGTTAAAGCGGCCGCTCGTGGCATCGACGAACTCCTTCAGCCTGACGTCAGCAGGTACTCCTGCTTTAACGACTTTTTCCACCGGTGCGCCGCCTCTTTGTCGGGTGTGCACCCATTGTGAATGGTTTCTCACTTGCACAGTCGATTGAAGCCCGGCGCTCGTCCGGTGCAGAATGCCGACGTGCCTGGCACGGTCTGCGCCGCCGCCGCCGACTCCAGACTCATTGTCTATCCGACCATAGACCTCGCGCGCAAGTTCTGGTGAGTCACCTGCCTCTCCGCCTCCTCTCGTTTCCCCTTGCCTCCGGACTCTTTCTAACTCACTCTGTTTCCTGATTGCACAATACTGATCGTTTGTTGCAGGATCAAGGGCACGCACTTTACGGTTCCACACTTGCTCGGCGTGCCGCCCGAGTCGGAGGAGGCGCGCGCATTCGAGGGTGGTAGCCTCGCGAGCTTCCGGTGTGTCGAGTTCTCCTTTGCGCTGTTGTGCGTAGCTGACGTGTGGGTGGATGCGATGACATGGATGTATTCATGCATATGGTGGATTTGACATGCTCGCGCAGGCTCGCGCTGGCAGATTACCACCGGTTCCACAGCCCGATCGACGGGACCATCGGAGATGTGCGTGAGATCAAAGGAGAATACTACACTGGTGCGCGCTCGGCCTGCTTCCTATACAGATGTGAGATTAACAAAATAATTTAGTGAACCCGCAAGCGGTGAACGAGCCGGGCTTTGATGTGTTCACTGCGAACCATCGTGCAGTGCTGCATATGACACATGCTGCGAGCGGGAAGCCGATCGCGTTTGTTGCGATTGGTGCGATGTTGGTGTGTGGACATTTCTTCTCTCCCACTTTCCCGGATTCTCAATCCTCCTCGTCTACCTCCGCTTCTCTGTTTCCCTATCCTCCATTAGCCCATCTATTGACTCTCCTCCGAAGGTAGGCTCCATCCACTTCACCTGCCCCCCACAGGGCAGATCTGTCTCCCGCGGTGACGAGCTAGGCTACTTCGCATACGGGGGCAGCACAGTGGTCGTGCTCTTCCCGCCTGGCTTGATTGAGTTCGATCAGGACCTGCAGCACTTTAGCGCGGAGTCTGTCGAGACATACGTCAAGGTACGTGGTTGTTTGGGGCGTGCTGGAAGACTAGGCTGATGGTGTGGAACGAATAGGTTGGGGAGAGCGTCGCAAGGACGGTGCAGTGAATGTTGATGAGTGCGTCGAGCGTAAGGCAAGATGGATTGAGAAAACACGTACAGGTACTGCACGTACCACACGTAACGGGAGTGGACGGACTGGCAGAATAGTCGGGATGGAGATGCTAAGGAAAGAAACATGTATATCCTGTTCATATGGCGTACCAGCTGATAGGCGTTACCTCGCGTGCTATGAATACCTTGATCTTAATTTCCAATAATATGGTATGCATGTACTCTCACGCGGGTATCATAGATCTACAGGGGCCAAGGGTACCCGACTCCGCCAAGAGCCTTCAATCATCCACATCCGACAACCAATCATATGGCAACAGGCCTGCGAGCAGTCCAGTCCCTGTTGCCATACAATCATGGTCCGTCTAACTCCCGCAATCTTTCCCGTCTGTGTGGGAGCGAGCTCGGCATGCTTGATTGGTGGCGGATTGGCGCTCTGTGTTGTACAGAAGCATGCTTACCCTCGAATGCGCTTTGAGGCATTTTGTCGGAGTGCTGCCTCTGAGGGCGGCGAGAGCAGTCGTGACATGTTCCTTAGAGATCGAAGACCAGGGTAGGTGCCTTGCGTGGTCGAGCGTAGTTTGACTCTGGGCGAAAAAGGTAATTGAAGCATGGACGTGACTGGGCTACCACCTAGTGATGAGCGATAGGTCGACGAATCTTCCTTTTGATAAATGTGAGTGGCGTTCCGGTCTGATGTGTGGCATGTGGTGTTGAAGCGAATGTCGCAGATACATACACCTTGGTGGGTGAATGTATGTGTTGCAAGCTGGATAGCATGACCCGAGCAGAATATTTTTGAAGAAGAATTGGTGAGCGAGTTCCTGTCGTACATGAGTTAATAAGATAGAGAGTTTGCTTTCATTTATTCTCACATATCAATGAAGGCCAGGCATGGCTACATGAACGCTCAATTCAACCATTTCTATTCCCTTTTCCTAAACTCTCCATTGACAGTCCTAATCGTACTCCATAGATCCGTTATCCATGCTTTTAGCTTTACGAATGTTGTCCTCAATGCTCTTCCGCTGTCCTGACTGCTTCGTCTGCTCCGTCAAATATCCCTCTGTAACTTCCAGTTCCGAACGCCTGATCGCTCTTGCTGCCATGTCTGACCCGATATTGTTCATCGTGTTCATTCCTGTCGCCTTGATCTAGACACGTACAAGTTCGCTCCAGCATACCGAGGGTGGAAGGCTCGCGCAATACCCTGTTGGACCGCCACAACGTCGACGGTCTCGCGAAGAAAAATGCATATATTGCCTGCCCATCAGGCTGGACGGCGAGTCCGGAGCTAATATATCCACGGGTGGTGGACTGCTGCAAAGAGATAGCATGGGCAAGCCGATAATAAACAAATGAAAGATGGATGAACTCGGCAAGGACTCGAGCTCGGAGATGGTGCTACTACTCCCTGGTGCGGCGGTGCATGGTAGCCCAACGGATATCGTGAACGACGCTTGAAGTTGTTTACGGGCTTGCCGTCAACGGACACCACCGTTCCACGACGTGAGGTGGTCATGCGAGGACAAAGGGATAAATATGCGGAAGACACGAGACCTCTCTGGAGTCAGTGCCAGCCGTGGAGTCCTATGCCTCTGTGACACTGCTTTAGCGGATTAGTGATGGCCACTATTCCATCCACGCACATCAAGGTTCAGCTCCACATTGGACTTCCGCATCCTCAGTTGGAGAATGGGTTCAGTATATTCGTGTATATTCACGCAGTGAAGAAGTCAAACACGCCGTCACAACAGACATGACTGCGAACACTGCGCCGAGTATCACGAACTGCCCAGCAGCAAATTTCAATCCAAATGTGGCCTAGAGATGTTGAAAACGAAGCAAAGCAGCCATTTGCTGGCGATGTCACCCACCCGACCGCCGGATACCTGATATCTAAGCACTACCCCATTCATCAATGAGCAACTTCCATTCTTCCATCGGTACAAGGCACGCCTCCCGCCTCCCGTCCTGTTCCTCAAACGTCCACCAAGTCTGCATGTAAGGACCATTCACATCCTCCCCGGAAGCTTTCTGAGAATTGGAGGCTCTCTGCCGGACACCCAGATAGGCCAATGTCGGGAGCGACTCGGCAGCTTTGAGAATTGTGCGGAGATACTCCTCCGGAATGTCCGACCGATCTACTCTGTAGCCTCCCTTGTAGCGTAGCTCGAGCCTCTCGAGCTGTAGAGGTAGGAATGTCCTCAGCGCTGAGGTCTGGCGCAGCAGGGAAAGGTGGACAGCATGAGACTGACGAAGGATTCCTTAATAAGTACGCCTGCTTACCATGAGCTCCTCGACGGCCCGATGAGAAAGATTGAGAGGGTCTTCGTGTTGGTCATTGGTCATTATGTATTCTGCAATCATCGTTGCTATGCGCTGATACCAGAATTGCGTGGTGGAAAGTATAAGGTGGCAAATAGGCCCGACGACGTGGCTACAGCGGGCACCGAACGAGACATCGGTGTACATCATCTTGAGATGAGTCCATTGGGACCTACATTTGCACGGCACGGAGAGGTTCCTGCAAGATAGCAGATGAAGATCGCGTATCCGATAGATCGCGGCTGCCCTCACTTCAGGGAATGCATGGGCTAAAGATACAGTGGATAAATGGCATGAGCAGAGGATGAGGTGTTTTACTGCTGAGGATACCCGGGGAGCATCAACAGGAATCTCGTTTCGTGTACATTTGATAGAATGACAGAGCGCAATTCAAGGGTGTGAAGATGAGGGAGCGATGAAGTGGCAGAAAGCAGTGAATAAAGGTTCTCCCTGCGCTCGTCGATGCCAACCAGACGCAACGTGCGTAGGTTGTTTGGTATATGTCGAAGCGACCATGTGGGTGACTGTACCAGCTCAACATGCTGTAGAGCAGAGGAATTACGGAGGGCCAAAGCAAGGTCTGAATGTTCAACAATCATGGTGTCCAAGCTGTACACTGATAGCGATCGCAAAGCAGGGACACCGCTGAGTAGGCGAGCCAAAGATTTTGCCCACATTTTTACCGCAGCGGGAAGGCGGCGATGCGATAAATGTGGGTCTTCAGCTTTTGGTAACTTCGTGGAGCGAATGTAGGACAATCTCGCAGGATCGGCGAAGATGAAGTCGCAGAACGCATCAAATCTGCACGGTGAAAACGTTTCAGGATTGTAAATTCTGAATGCAGATTGCAATCCGGCATATACGAAATCCCCGCCATTTGCATCCACATCTCAATAGTGAAATGGCTATATATGTGCGTGCGAGGAAAGAGACAAGGAAAAATAATATGAAGGCCCTAGTCGTATCTTGGTCAGTTCCCTTTGTCTATATATAGGGATATATATGCATACATATTCATGGCCGCACTCTGTAGGATAATCGAAACCTCACCTTGCTAAAGCTTTACAGTCAGAATTGCGTCATGTGATTGATCGGAATGTGAACGCACCAAAATTTTGCTGTCCATGAACAAGGACGTCCTCCTCTTGATGCTCCATCCCTTCCATACTGTAAGTGCTATTAGCCATAATAAGTGAGAAGTTAAGTATATCTGAACTGGGAAGGCTCTCACCTGCACAATAGATATTGGTCCTTTTTATGGTGTCAGATTTGCTATCATTGAACCCACAAATTGACGTACACAAACGTTAGCACTGCAGCGCTGACGATCCAGTGGCCGGCCGACCTATTGACAATTCTGTCTCCTTCGGTATGCCTTGAAAGTTGATAGGCACCATTTGCCCCAGCCGCTGTGGGACAGTTGGTCATTTCCTAGCCAGTGTCCCAGTCAAACATGCGCTACCAAACAGACTGCAACACAAAATGATGGGGAAGATAATGATTGGCTTGTTGTGGTTCCACGAAAGCGACAAACGTCTGATCTGTGATATGAGAATATATGTAAGTTTCATCGTCCAACGCTAGATCTTCGCAGTATCACGTACGATGATCGTATCCTGTGACAAAGCAGTCATGAAGTATAGGACAGATTTTGCAACATAAGTTGGATTGACCAAGTCGTAGAAGAAGAGCCTCAGTTGAAGCTCTCCGGTGTCATCCATCAGCCCGTCAAAAAGGTGAACAATTGTGAGCACCCAGTTCTATAGCACGTGTTGAGTCCTGAACTCCATCAAATGAGACATGTCTATCTCACAGCGCTGATCAACATAAGCAACACCATACCAACTATGAATGTTAGTGAGACATAGAATGGGTCACGGCACAAGCCATTGATAGTGGGCGGCAAACACGTTGTGGAAATGTAGACGAATGATCCGAATAGCAGCAAGAAGATGCCATAAAGCAAGCTTGTGATGCAGACAGTCGTGAGCTCGATGGGCAACATCATTTCTTTGGCAGACCTCATACTTGTTGGCTCGCTAAACAAGCACATGCATATTTATGACCTTTCATGCATCTCTGACATCCATCACATTTCTGTCATAACACTGGAGCTTGGATGTGCTTGTCCTAGCACCCCAACCGTGAGCTCGGGGGTACCAAGTGCCCGGTGCGAGCAGTGTCCACCACCCGGGAACTGAAGGCAGATACAAATGCATGGAAACGGCGCTGGTGTGGCCGCTTACCTCCATCAAGGCACTCTGAACAGCACTGACGGTCTGTTTTGCTGAGCACTAGTGTCCATTTCATCACAGTCCATTTTGATCATTTTAGTAGTCATCTCATCTCACCCCACAACGGCGTTGAAACTGACGTGGACATGAGTCTCGGGCGATAGTCTCGATATCTTGCACCTTTAGGAAGGCTTTCTCATCGCTGCTCCTCCGAGTTACTGCCCCGTCCTCTTAGGCACTTAGCACCAATTGTTTGGTACATCGGTCTCTTCTATTGCAAGCTCTAGAACCTTGATTATCATCAGTCCACTTCGCTGGATGCGCGTGTGGCATCTATGCTACAGTGCCTCACCATTAAATGCTGCTCAGGATTTCGACAGCCAATCTCCAGAGGTACATCTTCATCGAAAGCCAGTCTCGTATCTATCTCTGAAAAGATGCTCCAGATACATTTTTTCTTTGGTTATGCATAGGAGCACGAACACGGGATGATAATCCCGTATATCAAACTTCCGAATCACAGTGGGAATATCTTGTTATCTATTAAGAAGCAAGTGATGGCTGTGGCTCCATACACTAGGTGAAGTGATCAATAAGTTGAGGTGAAAGATAATGAAAATATTGAAGAAAAAGTTCAAATCTTTTAAGCATCTTCACTATCAATTTGTGATAAAAGTATTTAAAAATAATTTTAACATCTTTTATTGTGAAAGATGATGAAAAGATTGAACGAAGATTGGGTGAAAGATTAATAATCATTTCTTTAATCATTTGACAATCTTTCAGACAAAACTATGATGAAAAGTTTTAAAATCTTTTTTTACTTCTTTTTTGATCAAAGATGATGAAAATATTGTGACTATGTCACACCCTTGATTTCATATACTAAGCTAGTAGTAAGATATGGAGGTTAATACTCAGGATTATATATTAGCACTATACTAGCATTAAGGTCTGAAGGTTAGTACTATGCTAGTACTATGCTAATATTAAGGTCTGAAGGTCAGTATTATGCGAGTACTAAGCTAGTACTAAGCTCTGCAGTCTAGTACTACAGTTTGAAGGTTAGTGCTATGCTAGCACTAACCTAGTACTCAAGTTTGAATGTTAGTACTATGCTAGTACTAAGTTAGTACTAAGATCTGAATGCTAGTACTAAGGTCCAAATGCTAGTACTAAGTTAAATGTTAGTACTATGCTAGTACTAAGGTCTAAATGCTAGTATCACACTAGTACTAAGGTTTAAATGCTAGTACTATGCTAGTACTAAGGTATAAATGCTAGTACTAAGGTCTAAAGGCTAGCACTATGGTAGTACTAAGGTCTGAATGCTAGTATTATGCTAGTACTAAGGTCTGAATGCTAGTACTATGCTAGTACTATGCTAGTACTACAGTCTGAAGGTTAGTACTACTAGCATATGCTGGTACTATGCTAGTGCTGATACTATGCTAGTGCTGGTACTATGCTAGTGCTAAGATGTAGAGATCAATACTATGCTAGTACTAAGGCTTCAAGAGATAGTACTAACATTTGAACCTAAGTATTAACCTTTATATTCCAATATTAGCTTAGTGTAGAATGATAATGATGTGACATGGTCACAGTATGTGCATTATCTTTAATGACAAAAGAATGAAAAAAGATTTTGAAACTTTTTATCATAACTTTGTCTAAAAAATTGTAAAATGATGGAAACAATGATTGCTAATATGTCATCCAAACTTTTTCCAATCTTTTCATCATCTTTAACAAGAAAAGATGTTAACAGTATTTTGAATCCTTTTAACACAAATTGACAGTAAAAATGCTAAAAAGATTTGAACTTTTTCTTCAATACCTTTATCATCTTTCACCTCAAATTATTGATTGTTTCACCCAGTGTTGCCTTTTGCTCTCCCACCATCAAAGGTACCCAACTCAGAGTCGCTGCAAAGGGGAAATATCAGGGACGAGAATTCACCTTCTACGATGGGGGCCAATCCTCTTGTCATCGCTGGGGCTGCCCCGACTGGCAACGTCTCTTCTTCGACAGCGGTTGTTTGAACCTTGCATTCGATGAGCGATTCGCAGTGCAGTGATTCATGTATGGTCAGAGCAAAGGGACCCATAGTGTTTGCCAGTTCAGTAGACGAGATAATGGTGGCATTCGACGGTGTAATATGAATGGCATTTGCGCATGCCCTGCGACGGGCCTCTGTGTTATTTGGATCCGGCGCCCGGCGCCTCTTCACCCAAGTAAACATCCTGGACCACAGCGCCATCTGCGGCAGCCGTCCACGTGCTCTGCTCAGATTCGAGGCAATATAAAGTTACTTATTTGGCTCACTTTGTTCACTTATCGTAGCTTGCTGCCACCAAACTCGTAGAGGGCTCACTTGGGTTCACTTGAGGTTTTTCCCACGCTTCACTCGTTCACTTGTAGCTTGTTGTACCTCGCTGCTCCTCGCACCGCTCTTCCTTGCTACATGTTGCCCTCCCTCGCTTCGTTCTCGATTCCTCGTCGTCCATTATGGCAGCAGACCCATCGCGAGTATGACACACACAGCCTCGAGGCAGCATTTATGTGCATTTTCAGCTGTCCTCCGCTCTGTCACATCAGGGCTTTCCATTACATCAAGCCATCATTGTAGTGACATATCACCTTGACTCATATGGTGGTCGAGATTGTCTAGCTGCACGGTAAGCTGCACGATTCATACCCAGACTTCAAGATGTCCTCCTTGCCTATCGCCTTAACACCCGCGCCACCGAAACGCAAGTCAGTGTTCCTGAGCATCTTCTCGCGATTGGCATCACCATCCTATCACCCTCCATCATAGCATCCGATCAATGTCAGCTCGCGCCATCTCTCATTGAGGTCCACATGCCACTGGCAACACTACTATATAGTACATGTGGCGATTCCATTCGCTTTCGCTCATTTAGCTTCCCTCACGTTCTCTCACTTATCGTCACTTATACTCGCGTATCCTGCACGTATTGTCACTTACACTCACTTGACAGCGCGTACGCTCACTTATGGCTGCATAGAGTTGGAATTATCCTCTATATTGAGCACTTATTCTCCTGTAGCACACCATGCAGACACAAATGCACCGGCTTGTTCAAGGCTTCTTCTGCTGGCGCTTCCAGCCCTGCCGCCCTTTCGACCTCGCTCCAGTCACCAGTCTAGCTCGCGATGTGAGTTATCACTGCGATGGGTCACGAACACTCACATTACAGTCAGGCCACCGCGAGACGAATCGTCGCCAAAGGCTACGTAACTGTACATCAGCGTCGGCGCATCACGAGCCATGTGAACATGCCGAGGCGGCGAGCAGAAAACTGGGCGGTTTGACGGTGATGGCGGGCTAGGTAGGTGCATAACACAGCCTTGGAGTATTTACATAGTAGCTGTCTGAGTTCAATGTGGCCGATGCATAATGAATCAGCCAGTTAACAGAAGGGCTGGAGAGGGACAAATCTAGAGGATTTACCGCGACTGCTGATGCCTATTTTGCCCGGCAGGGGCCTTGTTGGAGTCACTGAGACTTGCAGGGGTTCACTTTGGGTTCACTTTGGGTTCACTTTTGGTCACTTGTACTCACTTGCTCAGTGGGCAACATGCAGGAAGTGTCAAGTGAGCATAAGTGAGCATAAGTGAAGACAAGCGAGAACAAGCGCCCGACGTCGACAATTTCACTTGTGCTGCCAAAATAAGGTTCAAGTGAACCACAAGTAACTTTTGTAAGGGATAAGTGACTAAGTGAAGTGAAATTGTTAACCATCCTCAGATTCCGGCCCGTCCACTCGCATTTCTATAGCCTGCTCAGACGTTCGCCTGCGTTCCGTACCCACCCAGAACAACGTAAACCCACGCGTCCCTATAACGTTCACCCATCTGCACGAGCAGATCCCAGCAGGATTCTCGAGGACCAGCGGCGGTACGCTGATGGACGAAATCATACCCAACCTGTGGATCGGGGACCTCCCGAGTGCGCTCGACACCGAGATACTGAAATCTCACAACATTCGGAGTGTGCTGACGGTTATGCGCGGGAGGGTTCGCATACACGAGGTGTGTCATATCCTTCAATGCTCACCTTGCAAGGTCAGAGCTGGACGTCGTATGAGCAGACCTTCACTCGACTGCAAATCAACCTCGACGACACAGAGGACGAAGATATCCTCGCACACCTCGTGCCTGCTCTGTCATTCATCGAAGCCGAGCTGGACAAGGGATGGGGCGTACTCGTGCATTGCCAAGCTGGGCTGAGTGAGTCGCAATGAGGGCTGTGGAGGGTTAGATCCCGATTGACGGGAGCGCACAGGTCGCAGTGTAACGATCGTGGCCGCATATCTCATGTACGTGCAACATATCGATCCCCAAGCTGCACTCGAGCTCATCAAGAAGGCGCGGACGAATATAGAGTGAGCGCGAATACTCTCCACCTCGATTACTGTCTTAAATGCTTTCTGCAGGCCGAACGCTGGGTTCCGGAGACAATTGGAGATTTTCCATGCAGCCTCCTATAAAGTCTCCAGGCGTGACAAGGCCACCCGTATGTTCTACTTGGAGAGAGTTGTCCAGGATGTGATGAGTGAGTGCCAGCAGCAATTCTGTACTGATCACTAGTTGATATGTCATTCAGATGGCGACGGGTCAGTAGAGACGGACTTCTTCGCAAAGTTTCCTCGGACACCGTCAGACTCTACGCCTCCAACGCCCAGCCCCGGACCACGTCGCAGGATTCGATGCAAGATGTGCAGGTCAGCATTGTCCTCCATCCCCCGGGACCCACGATCGGATGCTAATGCTCTCCCCAGACAAGAGCTTGCAGCAAGAGAACACATGCTCGATCACGGACAGCTCGGTCCTGCAACGCCCGCTGGGGCACTCTCTCCCGCTACTTCCAGACGACCATCCATGCACGACGGGAAGCCCTTCAGCCCGTTCAGCCCATATTCGCCGCCAGGCTCTCGGCGGCCGTCGATGCACGACAGCAAGCCTCTGAACCCCCTGTCTCCGCTGTCTCCGTCGTCCCCGGGGCCGTCTAGGCGGCCGTCGACGCACGAGCCGACGGCGCGCTCGCGGCTTGGGTCCAACGCAGACAACCGCCCGCTGAGGTCGTCGCTGCTTGCCATGGAGGGTGCGGTGCAGCTAGGCCAGGACGTATCGGACTTGCTGTCGGAGTCGGCAGTAGAAGAGGAAGATGACGACTCGGGCGAAGAGGAGAGTCCTGCGCCGGCACCGAAGGGAAGGCGCGAGAAGGAGGTGCAGGAAGCACCTGTGCCTCCATCGCTCACCTCGCCAGTGACGGAGCCGCTCCCTGCGATACCACCTCTGGTCGCGCGGCGCCTGTCTTCGTCGACTGGGCTGTCGCACCCGTCTGATCTCGCAGCACAGCTGTATGCACACCCGAAGCTGGCACCCTTGCGTTCTCCGCCGGCTTTGAGTATGACGCCGATGACATCCTCGTCGGGCGCGCCTTCGCCAACGGCGAGCAAAGGATTTCCGTTCAGCCCGCCGATCCTGGTCAACCCGAAGTGCTCGGGCTACTTCGTGGAGCCGGTAAGCGTGCATTGTTGGTATGCCGTGTTGCTGATGGCGCTGACGGGCGATTGGCGTGCGCAGATGCAGTGGATGGAGTTCTTTCTTGAGGAGGGTCAGATGGCTGGTAAGATTATTTGTCCGAACAAGAAGTGCGGTGCGAAGCTGGGCAATTATGATTGGGCGGGGGTGTGTTGTAGCTGCAAGGAGTGGGTCACGCCGGTATGCAGTCCTGACAATCTTCTCAGCATGTGCGATTCTCACATCGTTTACAGGGGTTCTGTATACATCGGTCGAAGGTAGATGAAGTAGTAGTATGATCCGTGTTTTTTTTTGCTTTTCACTCTGCCCACTATCACTGCGGACAAATGAGCTGGTGTCGGATGCACTTATATAATCAGCATTTGTTGATCGCCACATCAGTTTGATGAGCCAAAGATAGGCACTGCGCCGAGCTAAAAGTAGGTTAGTTGTAGTTGCCCTGCGATTCGATGGCCACCCACCTGGGCCCTGGTCCGCATACCATGACCTAATCTGGCAAACCGCCATCAGTGATCGCACAGATCGAGATCAGCCCCGCCGCCGGATCTCTCGCCGGAATCTGTCCTGCACGCGACGGGATGTTAGACGAATATCTCGGAGACTCCGCGGCGCTCTTCGGCGACGTCGTCCAAGATGACGGCAAGATTTATTACGGGCCACTCGTCCTTACCACGGCGCCCAAGGTGATCTTGCGTTTTACTTACTTGGCCGAGATCAAACCTGACTGACTGCAGGAAGGCAAGGTGTGTGCGGTTCTCCAAAGGTGTGTGTGATCCCAACGTCGGAACATCCAGGCGAATACGCTGCTGGCCGACCACTTGTTCTCGCCGTCGCTGCTGCTCGCGGAGCGTATCGAGCGAGGATTGATCCCGCTGCAGAACAAAACCGGTATGTCACCCATCGCTGTGCGTACGCATCAAGACCGACTGCTTCCTCAGTGATAGAGTTGGGTGCCGGCTGTGCGCTGCCGTCCCTTCTAGCATCCACTCTGCCAATCCCTCCAACCGTCGTCGTCATCACCGACTACCCAGACGAGACGATCCTCGGAAACTTACATGACAACGTCACACGGAACAGAGACAAGGCGGCCGCCGGCTGCAGCTTGCTTTTCCGTGGCTACGAATGGGGGCAGGACGCGAGCCCGCTTCTGTGAGTCGAGGTTCTCCTCTCGCCCCAGCAGCTCGCGCTGACGAAAACAAGGGAGCTATCCCCCGCGCATGCGGGCTTCGACGTAGTCATCCTATCCGACCTCCTCCACTTTGACCGCTCACATGACGTGCTCCTCGCCTCCCTAAGAGCCCTCCTCCGCGCAGACATCACCGCCCGCACGTACGTCGCCGCAGGGAAATACACGCCCCCTCACGTGTGCGCCCATTTCGTACAGGCGGCCGCGCGATCAGGCATCGTCCTCGAGGAGGGGGAGGAGAGCGCCGAGTGGCTGGGGACGCTGCCGGTCAGCGGGTCCGGGCTGGACAGAGAGCAGCTCGGGGTGAGGAAGGGGATGTGCAGGTGGTGGGTTGGGCGGTGGGCGTCGGACTGCGCCGGGCCTGCCGTGTCGTGAGGCGAGCATCGAGCTCGAGCTCGGTTGCACGTGGGTGCGTGCCTCGTGCCTGTCGGCCATTATCTCATCTTGACATTGCTGGCGACACAGCACACCCTCATCTCCGTCGTGTGCGTAATATGAACGTGTATTTACTAAACGGATCGTTGTACGTTCAATGAGTTGCTCGCTCGTTTTCGTGAGCATCGAACCGCTGCGTGCGGGCCAGTAACGACATTTCGTTTCGAGCATCCTTGTTTATTGTCCACAAGGGCAAAACCTGTGGTATACAGAACCTACGCATGTTTTTACTATATGCGGGGAGACGTCTAGCAGACTCGCACCACCTTACAACCATCACGCTTCCGTACGAACTCTGGAGGCGAGTTGTATGACACCGCGAGAGTGTTGGATGCACGGCGATATCCGCGCAGCGCTCGATAGCACCAGGGGAACGGGAAAAAAATCTATGTACACTTTCAATACAACCACATAAAAACAATTGCACCGAGTCTGGAAGCGTGAGGCAATTTTAATGGCGTACTTCCGCGTGCGACAGTAGTTGCTGGTATAAGATATCGAGATACCCGAGGGCCGTTGTATGGCGATGCTTCCAAGCCACAGCCAGCATGAAAGGTCGATGGACGTATGCGACATTTCAATGATGCGTCTTGACACGCTATCGGATTAATGACGTCGCAAGACGTCCGAACGAAGCATCACCGGACCGCCGACCTGAGACAATTTACTATAGTACAGGCCCAAGGTGCCGTGCGACGCCTCTTGAGTCTTCGGACAAGTAGTACGTCCAGGAGACGTGCATGTCACAGTGGTAGATAGGAGGATCAAGGTGACTCTTGTGAGGTTATCCCAGGCTCATCACTCGCTGGACTTCGCCTGCTCCGTGCCAAGTTCGTATTTGTGTCTATTTCACTCTTTTCATTTGTTCATAGTACGTCAATACATCAAGTGGCACCGCCGACTTCTTTTACTTTCCGCGACACATTCTCAGCCCAACTCCACGTGAACCATCCCACCGCCGACGTCGCGCTCCCACACGCCAGCGGTGCCCTCCCATTTTCCGCAATTTCCGACCAGAAATCGGACGTGAGCCACCATTCGCAGTTCGGCACCGCTTTGCAAATTGCACGTTCGTGGTGGGCATTCAAGACAACCGTGTGCTCGGATCGGACGAACAAAACTGCCTGTGGGAGCTCAAGTCCATGATACATGTCAGTGGACAGGAGATCCGATACCAGGCCGGGGATACACGTCTGCGGGTTTCACGGTTCACAAGGCACTGGCTCATCGATTGAACATTGAATACTGATTGATGTCTCAGAGTGCCCTGACAGACGGGGCCGGGAGGACTGCAGGCGCAGCTGCACATTGTGCACGCCACTGGCCTGCAATGCGACGCGAGGCGCTCCGGGTGATCTGTAAGTTGAACACTGAACGTTGAACGTTGAATAGTGACTATTAGCAATGACATAATAGCACCGAAAGAACCTGATCAAAGGAACCCATAGATAAACAATATAAACATATTCATCATGGGCACTACACCTTGTATAGCTAGCACGGAGCAGCAGCTCGCAACGCGACTGAAAGGCACATCGGCTCTCGTCTCCCATCTCCGCGGAGCGCACACTCGACGGACATCAGCGCGCACCGAAGCTTTCCCTGCATCCCTTGCCGCACGTGGTATCCAGTTCCAACGGCGGCATTTACATGTTTCCGGTCGCGGAGGTTCGCGAGGCACGGGGTGGGGCGGCACAGGCTTTCGAAAGCCCGCCATCAGACGCAGGTCCCCGAGGCGGCGTTGCGGCGCCACGGATACGCGGAGGGCGCCGTGACTAGGCCCAGGGGCGAGGAGAGACCCGCGTGCGGGACGCTCTGCTCCGCAGGGCGCGATGCTGGTGAAATGTTCATGAGCGATGGAGGGAGGGTGGGCAGGCACCATGGTGGAGCGGGCACAGGTGGCGCCTCGGTACCAGCGCGGCGGTACAATGTACCGTACGCGTGGACCGTAGCCATGTAGAATCAACAGACGGGCTCGGTCTGCGAAATCCGCATGGCGACCATCTGACCGCACGCCCACGAGACGCATACCAACGATACCGCCCTGCGTCCTAGTCGCCAGCGAGCCGCGGCCACGCAGCCGTCTTCTCTGCCAGGTGGTGCGGATTTTACGTCTGCGGACGAGGCTTCCGCGACGCGAGTCCTGCCTCCATATAATTGCCACGACACGACATAGAGATGGACGAGCAGCGTCGCCGGTCGATCCGCGGATGCGGTGGAAGGGAATAGCATATCAGAACGCGGCATGGATGGCCTCGGCGAGATAGCATGAGAAGAGTACAATTGTTTGGGGATGAATATTGGATAGAGTGGGTTCGATTGATCAATGATGCCAGGGAGGGAACGAGGCGACCGGTCTTCACTGGATGGCCGCAGGGAATATCACGTCAGGTGCATGGCAGATGAAGCTAATCAGTACTTGGGCGGGCTCGCATGATCATCGACATCGATCATCCTCACCTATGCATTGCAGTTAGAGTCCTGTCAACGAACGCTGGTTGCATCGGAGGAGGTGAATGACGGCGGTTCGCACCATCTGTCTGCAGCGGACAAGCGTGGACGTTGGACCGAGCGGCGATAACGAGCTATTGCAATGCATTGACACATCTGCATTACAGCGCGGCGGTGCACACTTGACATTAACCCCCACGTGATCCTCCCGGTGATAATTGCGAAAAAGTCAAGAACGTTCCCCGCCGAGGCTGCAACGCCTACGAGAGTTTGATAGCGCCAGGCCGGCTCTCAGGCAGCCCAGACCAGCGGACTGGACAGCGAGGCGGACTCCTGAACGCTATCAGCAAGATAGCATCATGCATCATGCATCATGCTTCGCCTCGTATCTCGAGACGAGCCCGCGGAGAAGCCTGCCTGTCGGCGGCGTTTGCAGACGCGCCTCCGCGCCCCGCTACACGTGCGCGAGGCAGCCGCATTGGCGACAGGATCCATCCACCGGCGAACAAAGGCCGCGTAGCGTACCCGAGCGACGAGCAGAAGCAGACGTCCGCGATGGCACGCTGCTCGCGAGGAGTGTCATCGTCAGCGAGAGGCCGTGGCCGTGCGCGAGAGATACGCGCGTCGCGTGGATCGGCATCTTATGTCCGACAGGCTGGGCAGAATGCGACGTCGAGGCGGAGTTGGGAATGCCAGAAAACAACATCTCCGTGGGAAGACAAAAAGAACGAACGTTCTGGACGTCGGACGTCGGTGGTTTTACGTGTGGACCGAGGTGCTAATCGCTGGCCGGTTGCTCGACCGGGCGCCAAGCAGAGTCAGGAGGACACACCGTTCCCCTCGGGTGCCGAGCTCGACCGCGTGCGCGGGGCGGTGCGTGCGGTCTCGCGGTGGTGAGCGCACCGCGCATGGTGTCCGGACCAACCGCAAATGTCACATGGCGTTGAGCGCAGGGTGTCGACGATGACGAGAGCGTCGGCGCACCCGGTGACATCGCAGAATGGAGGTGTCCACTGCAGGACATATGCATATGCCTCGCATACCGCACGATCACAATTTCCTCGCTGACCGTCAATCACGATCGTGATGCAGCGACATGCAATTGGCCCCGCCCCAATTGCATTTTTGCTCCTCCAATTTTTCCTATCTCCACCGATCTCGGAACGACCACACGTGAGAAAGATCCTGAAGCGGATGAAGAGACACCAGCACAGCACCCGCCGGCCGCCACTCTTCCAGATACTAGGCTGAGCAGGACAGCCTCGTTCGCACGCGAGACGCACTGTGTGCTGTCCAAGCCGGGTCGGGAGAGCCTAGCCAGCTATGCGGAGACGGCGAGACAGCGAGCAGCGCACCGATGCGGAGCTGTGCGACCGTCCGGCGCGGCTACGAGGCGGTTCTGCCAGAAGCAAGCGTGAGTCAGCCCTGGAACGTCAACAGTGGCCGAGAAACGGTGCTAGCATGGAACATGTTCCTCGTCCTCGTGCACATGACCATCCTAACCACAACAACGAGCACGCGGCGTCGCCGCGGAGCCCGAGGGAAAAATACTAGGAGAGACGGCGCGATGGGACGCGCGCCGTTGTATTCTCCACCGTGACATCGCCGCGCTCCTTGGAAATATATTCGCGCGACGAACCACCACCGCGATCTTGCGCGCGAGCGCGATGGGGCCCTCCTTCGCGAAGCGATGACGGCAGGTTGCGCACAGAATGCACGGAAAATATTATTGTTATTGCCGTTGGGGTGGGTATCTCGCACGAGGTCGAGCGGCGCATGCGTCTTCCGAACGCGGGAGGCAAGCACCAAGGAAGGGGAGTCTGTCCGGAGGCATGATGCCCAGTAGGTTTTCCACACGGCATGTGCGGTGGCTGCCAAGTTGCGCGTTGCAGCGCAGCCACTCGGAACTCATTGTTTTCAGGCATCATGCACATGGCTCTGCGCACGTCGATGCAGATCGTTGCGCAGAATCTGAGGCTCACGACGCTGCAGCCATCATGGGCCAGCATATGTGTTGCCGACGATCTAAGGGCACAAGGACAAGGGCGAGTCTCATTCTGCGAGCTTGTCTGCCTGAGGCTATCACGGACTGCGGGCCCAATAGACGGCGACCATCAACCGTCCGTCCTCCACGCGCGGACGCGGATGCGACTGCGATGCCGCCACAACTCTGCAGTGCGCACTTGGCGTGGGGCGGATGGAATATGGTTGCGAGCTGCATCGCAGATCGCGTTGCCTGCCCGTTGGACGCGGCCTCGCAAGATTTACATCTCCGCCTGGGACATCTCCGCAGATTTCACAGCGTCGGGCGCGGAATCTCTGCGGGTGAGCGTAAGGGACGTCTGGCCTTGCTCGCGCAAAGGCATCTGGAAGGGGAGATGGCGGGGGGCGCTTGAACGAGTTACGCGCGCGTCGATGGTCGGCTTGTAGAGTGGATACGCGATTACAATTGATCGCTCTAGTGCCGATCCCACGAGCCAGGGTACAGGGAACTGGGCACCACGTCCCAGGAAGTCTGAGCTGTCCAGGGGCACTGGCTCTGGAGCAAGGCCAGGAAACGGGGATGCGTCCATGCGGGGCGCTTCTCAGATCGATTTGCAAGGCACATAGCGAGGGCGCGGCTGGGATCCGTGCACATTACGTGTGGATGGAGATGCGCGACACTAGTGCTCCCGATGACGGACGCTCTCAGCCACCGAAAGCAGCGAGGACGAGCGCATGTTGGGACGGCTCAGATCGCCAGCTGCAGCGCCGTGCCTGGTGTTGTGACTGCTGTGTGAGACGGACATTCGGCTCGATCACCTTTGGCGGATGAAAGATGAATTAATCCGGCTCTGCGAAGACAGGGTGGACGGAACGTTGCGGTGAGTGTCGTCGCGTGCGCGATGCACGATGACGCGAGCGGGACGCATCTTGCGAGCTATTTCCGTAGAGGAACGGTGGAGGGGAATAGCTAGCTTCGGAGGCTGTTTTTCATGGGAACATGCCGCGGAAAGTCTGGAGCACAGAAGCGGTGGCGGGCAGCATTGTGCTCCGCGTGACATGGACACCTTTGCCGGCTGGCCAGTGGCGTGCAGCTGGCGCGCGTCGGGCAAAGGCAGCGACGTGGTGAGGTAATTAGATGGCGCCCCCGATCGGGGACCTCGGGCACGGCTGCATATGGCGAGACTCACGCACCGGAACGTCCCCTGGACCCTTACGTTATGCGCATTCGAGAGATGCGCGCACACACGGGAGCTTGTCGCTGATGGCGCGCGGTGGTTGCCCCCTCGAACTATGGTTACGGGCGGGGTGCCGCGGAGCTCCAATTATTGGGCGGAGCACGGTGGAGACATATCTCGCCGGGAGCGCCATCGCTCGCTCCCAGCGAAAAGCGGGAAGGGCAGCAGCACGGGGCCGGGATCTGTGGGGTACGGGGAACATTCTTGGCGATCTGGAGGACGAGGAGGAACGAGAGCAGAAGCCTCGTGGTAGGCGCCCGTTGCGAATCCTCTGGGGAAGACTGCCGGATATGGCATGTACGAAGAGCAGGCGATAACGACGTTGTACGTGTTTTCGCGGTGCAAGTGACGCCGTCGGGCAACCCAAGGGGGCGGATGCAACCATCATGCTCGCCACCACGTTCAGCAATATCATTCATTTCAGAGTCTCCGAGATCTTCTCTGACACAATGTCTCCCTTCATAAACCAGGCATTTCTCCTCCTCTTTTCCTCCTCCCTCGTCCCGCCGCCTCATACATCACCTTCCTCCCTGCGAGCCCATCAATCTCTGTCCGATCATCCCCGCGCCACCGTCCTCCATGGCACTCGCCCATTACCCCCCCTCCGACCGCCAGCTCGCGTCCATCGGCTCCTACCCCTCCTCCTCGTACCCCGACCCCTCCCCAATGTACTCCCTCTCCCAGTTCATGGGCTCCTCCCAGGTCGACCAGCCCTACGTGAGCAGTGTCTCCTCCTACCTTTCCGAGAGCAGGAGCCAGTGGCAGCCCGGCCTGTCCACCGCATACCCCTCCCTCTCCATGAGTGGCGTCTCCCCCTACTCGAGCCCCTCCTCCTCCCAGCTCTCCTACCCACCCGAGTACCCCGAGTCCGCCCAGCGCAGCGCCCTCTCCGACGCCCTGCGGCCCTCGTCGTCCTCCCGCTCATACACATCCGCACTGGGCCCGCCCTCGCCGCGCGACACCCCCACCCTCCAGCGTGCCTCCTGGAGCAGCGCACTCTACGTCGTCGACAGCGCCGAACCCGAGCCCGCCCTGGCTCCCTCGCCGGTGCCCGAACCCCTCTCGCCCGCTTCGCAGGTGAAGGAGGAGGACTTTGAGGGCTCGTTCATCTTCGAGCTCGCCGCGTCCGACGCGCTGCACGGGGGCCTCGAGAGCATGCCCGAGGTGCCGCTCCGCGCGACGCACGCGCCCAAGGCCATGCGCAAGATGATGGGCTCATTCCGCCTCGATCCCTTCGCGATGCACAACGGCATCCGCTCTGCCGCCGTCGCCGCCGCGCCCGTCGGTATTGAGGTCGGGCCGCTCCGCGAGGAGCCGGTCATGTTCGAGTTCCAGGTCCACCTCGACTACCCGCTCGTCCCGCCCTCGCCGCGCTGGTCGCCCGCGCGCAGCGCGTCACCGCTGCTGTATCCACTCGAGGACGAGCCTGAGGAGAAGTGGGTTGCGTCGATGGGGTCGTACTCGCCGTTCGAGGCGGGCGCTGTCCCTGGCGCGGGATTCGCACCACTCATGACGCCCGCGCAGTCGCTGAATTGGAGCATGAGCTACCAACAAGAGGCGAGCGATGCGCTCTCTGCCTCGCCGGCATCGTCGTCGGGGTATCCCGTGCAACCGCTCTCGAGTACGTAAATTGCTTCGAGATCTTGTTGATGTGACGCTTATGCCGCGCTTCTCTTCGCAGTCTTTCGCTCGGGACAGTCGCAGCCTTCGCAGCCGTCTTCACATGCACATTCACCACCGTCGTACAAGTCGGACGCGCATACATCCTCGCATTCCCAGCACACTCAGAGCAGCAGCCCGCACGCGCACGGCTATTCAGGCGCGACGTACGCCGAACGCGATGTCCCCCTCTACCGCTCGCAGCGCGCATCCGCCGCAGCGACCGCGCGGTGCCAGCAGGAGTATAGCAGCGAGTATGCGCCGGTGGTGCCTGGCGCACTGTCATGGTATCGCAAGACGCTCGCGATTCCGGACGGATATATGGCCTGCACATGACGTCAGTCTGCGTTGCAGACGCGGCGTGCTTCTTGCTTAAGAACTGCTTTTCCGAGGGAGCGTGGAGGAGGAGATCATGGATGTGCTGTAGGCTGACGCGAGGCGGAGTGCTCGAATTGATTTCTTGGATACCAATATTAGTGCATCAGGCGTTCTGCGACGATTTTGGTGTATAAGCATACGCGCAATGACTTCATGAGCGAGGAATGATTTCGTCACAATCAATTAACTATATTGTGCTTGGCACGCGTGCAGTGGGATTTTAGATCGACGGAGAAGAGAGAGTTTAGGGTGGGGTTATAATGATTGCAATTTGCATCGGGTTCGCATGCGGCATACGTGTAGGTGTGCACCCGGGAGAGGGCTCCCAATTGGAATTGGGATTGCAAGCGTCCGGTTACGTCAGGATGGTTCCGCGAGGGTGGTGGCCACTTTTGTGGGCCGGGGCGAGGATTGGCCCCCAGTAACGGGTTTACGTTGGCCGAACGGCCCAGGCCAGGCCATCGAACGATGGGTTGTAAATGGGTGTGATCGGACGCCCGAGTCAAGTGCGCGGGAGCAATGACGAGGATGGGTGGCGCCTGAGGGAGGTCACATGCGAATATTAATTCTCTCTCTACCTATGCGGATCAGTATGTTTTGTTGGAGCGACGCTTCGTCAGGCTTGGAGAGTCCGCACTTGTCGGGAACGTCCATTCGAATGATGGCGGTTGTGGGGGACGCAGTGTCAGATGTCGTGTGCAGGTGCATCATGGACGGTTCGTCGTGGCGAGTCGGCGACAGCGCGTGTAGGGACACTTCTTTGCGATGAACCACAGGAATATTTGGCTACATACGGTTAGGCGGGTCGCACGACGCGTGCTGTGTTCTGACGTCCTAGAGCGCGTTTAGGGCGGGGTGTGTCCATCGATGTGTGTCGAGGGAGGCCGCAACAGCCCGTATAGTGAGGAGTTGACCTGTCTCGGCTGGAATGTGACAGAGTTGGGGTGCGTAGCTTGTGCTGTGCAGGGCGCGTGCCGAACACTTGGCGTATTGGTCGCAGCGAATGATTTGACCATTCTTGGGTAGTACCGAAGAGGTGTGGCTCTGCGGGGATTCGCCAGTGGGACAACGCGTACCGCGAAGCTGTAGACATTGGTCAAGCTGAGGCGCGACCCCCTTCCGTGAGGTCAAGCAGAGTGCACGCCATCACACTGCGGATGTGTCGGGAGCACTAGCAGGTATGGGGGATGTCTCTGGGCGGAGCACGACTTACGACTGGACCAGTGATGGATGGATTCCGTTGTACGAGGGTGCAATGTTCCGGGTGCATTGCGTGGCATGCCCTCTGCCGACGCCAAAGCCCAGGATTTCTCAGCCTTTCTGCAGCCACTTGAAATTGAGCGATCATGTGGGCCAAACCCCCGGTAAAGTCAATGTTCCGCACGGGCTGTACCTTGACAGGTGCAATGGAGGGGCTGGTAAAATGAAATGGCGGATATGCACCGTGATTCGTGTTTGCTATCCTGGGATTCGGATGGGGGGTGATGGGTGGGAGGAAACGGGTAATCTTTGGGATTGCGCTCGAGCATGACCTTGACGAACAGAGCGGATGACTCCCCAGAGAACTCTGCGTCCGTATGCAGCGCACATCACATAAGGCTTTGGCCGCTTCGCGAAGACGATCTGCTATGGTATTTCACACTGCGAGGCTCCATAGTGCGAGCCCTTGTTTCCTCTTCTCGGCTCATTGGGTTCTCGGGAAAGGCCGCGGTACGCTTGCAATAACGGCGAACTTGAACGCGCTGATATCTACCGACTCTAGAAGTGCTCACCTTTTGGGCAGTAAGAGCTAAGATGACCCGAGTTGGTCACCCTTCCTTGCATTACGCCGATCCCACAGACCCTAGTGCGAGGAAAGCATTGTCTCTGTGACAGGACCTCTACATCCGACCGCTGTGCTTTTTTACGTCTTGTCTGGACACGTGAGAGCAGACGAAGGCGAAGGGGACACGTCAATGGCAGAGGATGGCTTGCGCGACATACCTCAGGCTATGGCGGCCTAGAACGTGCTCAGCCACTTGTGCGGACCAAGGTGGGTTGTATTAATGCTGCGTGGCAAGAACATCAAAAATAAGCGAAAATAGCAGATCATCTTGCCTGGACGTACCCACGGAGCCACTCTCTGATAAGTCTCAGCCCGAGTTGAGACCGAAAGGCAGTAGACTTACGACGTGGACTGGGCAGGTGCCTGTGCGACGATCACGGTCGGGGGAAACATGATCGTCGGGCTCGCCGCGTGCGCCGTGGCATAATCCGTCGTCGGAGTCTACATATGGCAGGCGCGGAACGCGAATTCCACGTGGCCGAAGAGAGGCTCGGCGGCGGCCGCGGAGCAGCCTGGGACCACAGCCCTCACGCGGCTCGCTCCCTCAGCTCCTCGTCCTCTCCGCCGTCCGCACGTTTCCCCCGCATATACGCACACGCAAAGTCTGACGCTGCTGCTGCACGCAACACGCTGGCCTCGACGACCTTGCTCGACACGCACATCCGCGCGCACACAGTCTCTCTCCTCGCCATCGGCCCGCGACATGAACGACCTGGCCTTCGGGCGGCGGCGGAGCGTGGACGTGGGCGGGCTTGCGCTCGCGCTCAGCGAGCAAGGTTCGGGGCATGGATGGGGAGGCTGGGAGGAGACGGAGACCGGCGAGACGCGGTATGGAAGCTGTCATATGGTCCCTCACGTTTCTCATCAGCGAACCTTGCGCAGATACGCCGAAGTCTTGATTGACGTTCGTGCGCACACAGAGACGGCGATCAATTCCGAGCCGGTACATTCGTCAGTCGCCGTACTGATATCGTTTGCGCGCTGTGAGCTCATGCGTTGGCAGACCGCCCGTGATGGTCCTGAAGGAGGACACGCGACATAGGCTCGTCGAGAGTTTGTGTACGTGGAACTTTGAGCCGCACAAGCTGCCGGAGGAAGAAGTGCTGGCATGCTCCTACGTCCTGTTCGAGGCGTTGTATCGCATGGAGGGTATACAGGACGCGGTCGGCGTACCGTTGAGTGAGTATTGCTGCTGTGATGCCTTGGAAATCGCTGCTAATAATGTGATGCCTATCAGGCCACATATCGTCTTTCCTGCGGCATTTACGGCAGCTATATCGGCAAGGCAACAAGTATCACAACTTTCAACATGCACTGGATGTCCTTCAGGCAACGTACCATTTTCTGTATCGCGCAGGCATGGTTCCCCCCGTGTCCATACTGTTGCACTCAGATGCTCGATCGTGGAAGAGACATAAAGAACAGCAGAGTGATCAATTAATATGTTGTCTGTCTGAGGAGGACATTTTCGTGCTGCTAATAGCGGCTATCGGACATGACGTCGGTCACCCAGGCTTGTCAAACGCTTTCATGGTTAATCCAATTTCGCGCTCTCGGCTAGGAGTAATAATGACTGAGGCACTCACTTCAACAGAAAAACGCACGAACGCCGCTAGCCGTTGTGTACGACGACAAGTCGGTACTAGAACAAATGCACTATTCCCTCATTTTGCAGATCATGCGCCATAACGGGCTTGGCTTCCTGCTGGACCGGCCGCATTCAGGCCCGTTGTTCCGCAAGCTGCTACTGGGCACCGTGCTCGCGACTGATCTCAGCCTCCACGCCGAGTTCATGAGCAATTTCCGGGACCTCGTTGCTGGCCAGGACGTCGGTGAACACAAGCGCAAAGTGTTGGTGTGCCAAGCTTTGATAAAGTGCGCCGACATCAGCAATCCTGTGAGTGCCGCTTCGCGATTGTCATCTGCGGGATGTGCTCACGAGAACTTTGCATAGAGCCGCCCATATAACGTTTCGAAACATTGGGCGGCTGCACTAGAGTCCGAGTGGATCAGTCAGCTGATGTTGGAGCAGCATCTTCACCTGCCTGCTACGGTTAAGCCCTCGGCCAATTCATTAGGCGAGGCTAAGGGTCAAGTGTGGTTCATCAGTACCTTCTCGCGACCGCTGTTCGAACTCGTCACAAAGGGGATCCCCGGTGAGCCGTTCCGCTAGTATCGATATATCGCAAAGCTTAATTGACGTGCCGCAAGAACTCGGTGAGTTCGCGCAGCAGTGTAGGGAAAACCTCGCCATATGGGAAGAGCGCTCTGCCGAGCTCTCCGCTACCGTCGGGCCCGCTACGGCAGTCCCCAATCCCCCTCTGGTCTGTCAATTCCATCACGTAGAAGCGTTTCTCTCCGCGTTCCCTCCAACTCTTCCGGACTCCCTCCGTAGCCAAGAAGAACAGACGCACTCGCGTGCGAGCTCCGAGTCGTCGGCATCCTCGGGATTTAGCCACTACGAGAGCTGCGAGTCCGGCCCGCCGTCGCCTTTCGCGTCGCCGACGACGTCCCCCTTCTCGCCGACGTTCGGCCAGGCGCGGCTGGAGCTCGCGTCGTCACCGTCGTCATTATCGTCCCCACAGCGTCCGCCGAGCATCATGTCAATAAGCTCGCACAGCACGCAGGCACAGGGTGCGACCGCCGCCATCCGCGAGGCGTACAAGATGAGCGTGCGGAAGAAGAAGAGCTTTCACCGCAGCTCGTGGAATCCCATTCCGAATATTCACAGCGTGACTGTTACGCCGTCCATCCCGAGCGACGGCTCAAGCTCCGCGTGCCCGTCTCCTAGCTCGACCGTCGGCGCCAGCCCGCTGACGGCTGGCTCGTCCCCTCTTACGACCTATTCGTTCAGCCCTCTCACGCCCCAGTCCGCGTCTTCCGCGTCCCGCCCGGACCTGGCCAGCATGTCATGCAACCCTGACTAACATTCACGAACGACCGATATCCATGATCCATGAATTGTGAATGAGCATATAACCGATTGTATCATAGCTGTACCCAAGATTCTCTCGCCCCCGTCATGCTATCACTTGTTTTGCGGATGCAAGCGCCATCCCCGGTTGCGTTCTTGCTCTGGTGGGGATGTGCTGGTCTTTGAGAGCCGCGGTAGATCTGCGTGCCCTGAGGGCTGGTGTGTCGTCCCATATTGTGCCGTGCATGTGCTTCTACTGGGAACGTTCGCTGTGGCGTTACCGTTGTGTATACCCTTTGGTCTTAGGCGCCACCCCCCCCATGTAGCTGTAACGAAGATGACAAGTGGCATTGGAATATTAGTCCGATTGTCAGAATCCGAGCATGATGTGTTTCTCCAAAGTGTCTGAAGTAAGGGTTATGTAGATGTGAGGTGATCAATGAAACATTGTAGAGTTGAATGGTGAAGATGCTGTGGTGAAGAGAGGAATGCTATAAGAGACCATCATTTACTTTGGTCATAGAATGATCCTTCTCTTTCCTCCTCATTGGGAGGGGAAAGTGGGGCCCTTTTAAATGTGCCCTGCATGTAGACAGGGGGAGGCAGGGGGATTACCAGCCTTCGCTCATTGGTCGATGGCCTTGGAATACGGATGGTGAGCGATCTTGAAGGCCCGGGTGTAGCATTTGTGTTGAGCATTACTGTTGAAGGGCTGATCGCCCCATTGTGCATAGAAAAATCAGCACCGATCATAGGCGATGGTGCTGGAGTTGGGACATAAAGGAACTCGTCCATTGGATCGACATCAAGACCTAAGCCAAAATTATTTATAAAATATCCTGTATCCTGGACTTGTGATCAACATGAACATGTTAGGGGCCTAGAGGAAGATGTCTCTCACAAGCATGTCCATCTGGATGTCATCATCCTTATCTTCAGTGGCAACTGCGGCTGATTGCAGCCGCTTATTTTCGGCCTCTACGATTGTGATGCGGCTCTTAAAGCCCTGGATCTCAGCATCCTTTGCTGACACCGCAGCAGCGAGCTGGGCATCCAGCGCAACGTAGCGTTCCTTCCAAATCTGTGCTTCTGACTGTTCAGTCAGCTGTGCATTGCGCGCCGTGTCCAGCTCCTTCTTTACGGTGCTACAATGTGCCTCCAATTCTTGTACTTTCTGTTCTGCAGCAGAAAGCTTGTCGGACATCTCACTGAGCTCCTTCTCCAGTTCCGCTCGTTTCTGATCAGCGGCCTCCCTAAGCTTTCTCCTTTCTGACTCTATGAGAGCAACCAAGGTGTGAGCGCCGCGTTGAAAGGCCGTTGACGCGAGAGTACTAGGGGCCTCGGTTGTCAGCTCATCGGATGGTGCAGCGGTACCTCCGAACTGTGCGCGTTAGAACGAATCCGGCGCATTTCTACGTTTCGTCTTACCTGAGATGCATTGCTCAAACCTTGAATATTCCGCTCCATGACTGCAACGGAGAGGATGAGTGCGCAAACGCGGCTTTGGGATGGCTGATGGGATCAACTACGCGTGAGCTTATGGGCGTCTATTCTGCAGCCACTACACGCGCGGCACGACGACTCGGCCACAACTTGCATGCTCACATGAATCCTCCCAATTCTCCCATTCCTCAGCCTCCGCACAGTGCCGGATTAGCATTTAAGGGTGAGCTCAGTAGTACTCTCACATTGCTCCTACAACAAACTCGCATGCATCTGCGAAGGTCTGCGAGCTGCCATCGACCCTCAGTCTATACCGTCACCCATCGACGCAATAGAGGAAGACAGAGAGAAATGGGAGGATCAGCCCTACGGTACTCTTCCTGGTGGCCAGGCGCCGCTGTCCACCACAGATTACGTTGCTATTGATCAAGGTGCGTGTTTCGCCATGATGCGCCACGAGTAGCTGAATCGCCATTCAGGCAACTCATCTCCGAAGTATATACGCGTCTCGACTTGGAATATCCCAAGCACTTCTCGTCTGGCCTCGGACTGCGAGATACCTATTGTTGCCGTCATCCAACCGTTCGCAGACCAAGACCCCCGAGAAGAGCCTGTGCCGTTGGTAGAGACGGGCGACCTCGGGCCTGCTCGCTGTGCGAACTGTCGTGGGTACATTAACCCTTGGTGTAAGTGGGTTTCCAATGGCGAACGCTGGAAGTGCAATCTATGCGCGCACGAGACAGAAGGTCCGTCCTAGGCATACCACTTACTTGCAAGCGCTCCTCGATTGAATGGGTCATAGTTGCTCCGGAGTACTATTGCAATCTGGATGCCAATCTCGCTCGACTTGATCATCTGCAGAGGCCTGAACTGAACAAGGGCACTGTTGACTTTGTTGTTCCTGACGAATACTGGGCGCCACACCCTCCTCCCAAAATCGCGCCGTTGTATCTGCCCCTTGTGCCTTTGTCGAATTCTGGGAACAGACAGCCTCAGCCAATGTCATATGTGTTCGCCTTCGACGTCTCTCTAGAAGCGTTTCAATCCGGTTTCACTCAGGCTGCGTGCACCTTTCTGCTTGAGTTTCTATATGGCCGTGAAACCGAGGACGGGCAGAAGATCGAGCCATGCTTCCCAGCAGATTGCAAGATCTGTATCATTTCCTTCGATCGGACTATCCACTTCTATAATCTCTCAGTACGCATTGTCTTGCACTAATGACGCGTGAAGTCGGTTCTCACAACCATGGCTTATCTCAATGTCACCGTAAGTTCAGCCTCAAGAAGCGGACAATGCACCCATGCTTGTGCTACCAGACGTAGACGATGTCTTTGTACCCTTACGGGATGGCCTTTTCGCTGACCCACGAGAGTCGCAGTATGTCTTTCTGAGATAATCATGTATGGAAGGGCGGTGACACAGTTCGTTAGACGCATCATTACCGACCTACTATCAAACATGGCCAATCTCGAAACCCATGTTCCGGAGCCGGACGCTGCGTTAGGTTCTGCTTTGACCGCTTGCCTCGGAGCTCTCGTATGTCTTCTCATACTGCACATGTGCATCTCCTGATTCCTCGTTCTGGCAGACAGGCCTTGGTGGACAGGTGGTTCTGTTCGCTGGAGTCATCCCTACTACAGGCATCGGCGCATTGCAGCCGGTCGTTGACGAGTCGACATTGTTTGGCACGGACAAAGAGAAGACGCTCTTCGTCCCTCGTGGAGGGTTTTGGAGAGATCTAGCTGTACAATGCACCGAGGAAGGGATCGGAGTCAATATGTTCCTTGGCATGAGCAGGCCTATTGATATCGCGTCTATCGGTGAGAGATTGTTCGACGTCATCGAATGCTGAGCCTGTTCAAGCCTATGTACGCAGGCATTGTATCCTCGATCACCGGTGGAGAGCTCTATTTCCACCCTCGATTTGACCCTACGCGTGACAATGTCGTGATGCACTCGCAATTTCGTCGCTTGCTTACCCGCGTGACGGGATATTCGTGCTCAATGCGCGTACGCTGCTCGACAGGTTTGTCAAGACCTTTCCTCTTTTCGTTTGCACAGTTGACGAGGTCCCAACAGGAGTACATGTCACCCAGCAATATGGCAACTTCTACGAGAGCCCGTTGGGCGACCTCGAATCTGGGACGTTGGATGCCGACAAGGCTATATCTGTCGTGATCGAGCACAACAAAGCGCTAGAAGACACCGCATTTGCGTTCATTCAAAGTGCCGTGTTATATACCACCGTATCCGGCCAACGGCGCGTACGCGTGTGTAACCTTGCACTACAAGTAGCATCGCTCGCTGGCAACGTTTTCCGCTATGCGGATCTGGACGCGGTAGCATGCCACATGCTGCGCGAAGGTCGGTGACAAACCCTTGATCGGATCTGAGTTCGCGCTAAGTTGAGGCATTGAAGCTATTGCGAAGTTGCCTAACCGCACTATCGCAAATATTCACGAGCAATTGACCGAAAAATGCGTGTCTATCTTGCTGGGCTACCGGAAACATTGTGCAGCATCTGCACCACCTTCTCAGGTAACCTCAGTCCATTGTATCTGCCTACCGTCTTTTTTCACACAGTTCCTGCAGTTGATCCTACCAGAAGCGTTGAAAGTGCTCCCTCTATATACCTTGGCCGTCATGAAAACCAAACCGTTGAAGGGCCGTAATGTCAATGCGGATGTGCGCAACTATCAGGCACACAAACTGATGGCTATGGGCGTCCGGAGCACCATGAATCATTTATACCCGCGGCTGCTTGCTCTGCATGATCTTACTGATGCCATTGCACTACCGGAGCCGACCATTGGTCGAATCCGACTACCGTCCCTCATGCGCGATAGCTATATTTTCATGCAGTCGTATGGGGTCTATCTCATAGGTATTGTATATGCTCGTCCTGCGGATGCTCGTTCACTCACAGTATTTATCGCAGATAATGAGGAGATGATGGTGCTTTGGATTGGTTCGGACGCATCACCACAGTTGCTGAAGGATCTGTTAGCTGTGGAGGATTTCTTCCAGATCAACTCACATATCGTATGTCATATGAATGTAACAATCTGGGCGATACTTGCTGATCTGATTTTCTGTAGACATGCGTTCCATCTTTGCAGACGCGTCTCTCGACGCAAGTCCGGAATATCCTCGCCAATCGTTACACGCAGCGCGGATGGACACCAAAGTTCATGATCGCACGTCGCGATATGGATGCCGCAGAGATCGAATTCAGCGATATGTTGGTCGAAGACCAGAACAATGCTGCGATGTCATATCTAGACTGTACGTTTTCTGTGCGTGTCGAACGACGAGTATCTAGGCTGACTGTTGATTAGATCTATGCCTCGTCCATAAACAGATCAACACGGCCGTACGTCTTTATGCTTACCTGCCTGTTTCCAGCCATCTGACATTGGCACCCATCAGCTCACAGGAGGATCCGTGTCGACTAATCATAGTAGCTTCAAAGCAACGCCTTGGTAATGAATATGGATGTGCTGATGGACAGATCGTTGTGACGTCTGTAGACGAATGATTATGCGTCAATAATGCGCCGTGCGTGAGGCTGACATCTGAATGGATCATTGCATGCCATTTGCTCTGTGTGAGCATGTCATCGCATGAGTGCATGTCATCTTGGATACAGGTCGCATGCGATACCCCTCTGGTCATTAACGCGCAGTGTCAAAATGCCAAGTACAATGAATACTTTCGTCGGAGACACCAGCAGTGACCGTTGAGGCCCCGCCCCCTCAGTGAAGTCAAGTTGCCCTCAGACTCTTACGTCGGATGCTTCCTACAAGCACTTGGAATGAGTATGAATGTGGTACGCTCAGCGAGCGAGGCTGCTACATCGCCTGGCGGCCGAAGAACGATCCATGCATCCTGAGGACATTGTGAGCGCTCCATGGAGCTCGTGAAACACTTCGGGCGAGTGATGAGCTGATAGCCTTTATACGTGCCAAAATCAGAGCTCAATCCAATCGGCCTTTGCATATCTATCTTATGTCTGACGTATCTGCTCCAAATAATGACTTTCTGCGTGCCGCTAACAGCAGCGATTGGCGTCACGGTGGGATGAAACGAAGGGAAACAGGAACGGGGACGGCTGGGAAAGGGTGAGAGGGTGGGGGTTTTCCGAGACGAAAGGCGGACGAGAACCTGCCATGTCGTCTGTCGCCTCTGTCCTGCATTTCGTGGGAATGCACATGCATCGGCTGTCGATCTAGGCATATTGAGGCACACTTGGTGCATTACAGGAGGAGATGGAGCATATGTGGCCACGTCGCTTGCCACGAACGTGGACGCAGACAAACTGGTCCCTCACCTCGTCACGGGAATTTACGACATGTCCTTTGCCCATCCTGACACGTCAGCAAATACGCTAATGATTATTGATGTACCACAAGTAGCCCAACCAGGAGCGTCTAGGGTTTCCAACGAGCGACAACAATGGCCATACAGAAGGACCGCACTACGGTATACAATAACTGAGACAGCACACAGTGCAAGGGGGCATACATAAAAAGGAAGGCGAATTTGAAGGGATACTTTTGGCAGAAGCTTCATCCACGAGGGCAGCAGGCAGCAGATCATGACTCATTGAACGACATCGAACGCCTCCGTGGGCGGTTCGGAAACGAACGGGCAACGCGATAAGGGTGCATGCGCACACGCTTGGCTATGCTGCGAGGTGGATAGCGGTGGTGCTCCAAGACGCGTTCGTCTAGATACACTGCGTTCAGCCTGCGTTGGCCCTGCAATGCGCGAGATGGCGGGCTAGGGAGCTCGGGCAGCTGAGGGATTGAGGGGACCTCTGGGATGACGATGGGCGTGTTAGGAGAGCAAGACGAGGTGAGAGTGCGAGGAGTTCTCGAGTCGCAGGAAAACGCCGAAGAAGGGGAGCCCTCGATGTCGCCGATGCGAATATCTACAGGGCTGCATGCAGCGAACTCGCTGAGCGTTTGGCACCCTCGTATCCAGGAGGCAATCCGCTGCGCTCGGTCAGGGGACTGTAAGAGGGGAACGTGAGCCTCATGAAAACGAGCAGACAAATTGAGACGTACCAAACACGCCTCATACTCTTCTATATCGTAATATAAGGGAGCAAAAGGCTCAGAGAACTGTATATCCCTCCTGACAATGTCGAGGTAGAGAGGCGAAGGACGAGGTCTGCAACAGGGAGACAGGCTACAATCCATGGGTGTGATAGCAAGTAAAGAGCGACAGTATAATTGCTCTCAGTGAGGAACTGGGAGCGAGCGGGTGCAGACGATGCTGCGCAATACGAGTAAGTATCCAGGGAAGGACGAGGAGCCAGCGAGGAGCTGAAGCGAGGCTATATACCTCGGGACGCGCGCGAGCTGCGTTTCACGACATTGTCGTCTATTGTCAAGACAGCGAGCAGATGTACTTAGCGCATGTCGCATGGCGGCGACTGCTACGGCGACCGTTGTACTGCGCCGTGAGGACGCCGGCGGAGAAGTTCCGAGACAATGGCGTAGCATTTAGTTCAAATTCACAGTCGCATACTAGATAGTCGTCAGTGCGGCAGCCTCGTGGTAGCGAGGATATGTATATCATTTGATGTCGAGGTGTTGCCAAAGGCACAGCGGGAGGTGGAGGTGGGCATGGTAGCACGCGGGAGAGAGGCCACAGCAATTAAGACAGGCGCCCGACATCGAGATGAGACGCGGTCACGGCCAGTTTCCCACGCGCTTCATTTCTCTGCTCTGCTTTGTCCTGCGAACAGAAAGCACTCTGCGCAGCCACAGACAACACCCTAGCCATGTCAGACCCAACTCCGAAGATCAGAATCGTATGGTCTCCATTGTATACGAGGTCTTCCGCTGCTGACAATGGGCGTTGCTACGTGCGTTTCTGGGTCTGCCTTCTGCTGCACACACACTCGGGCTCGATGGACACAGCTCAAGGGCGCGGAGCCGGACCTGTCTGCCGCGACCTACCAGATCCACGACGAGTCGCATACTATTGGGAATGCGTTGCGGTGGATGCTGATGAAGAAGTGCGTATTCCCGTCCATCTCTCTCGTTCCTACATTCACGAACAACTCGTTCGCCTTCCCATGGCAGCCCGAAGGTCGAGTTCTGCGGATACAGGTGCGCTGTCTTGTCTAAATTTGCATTGCTTTGTCACTCTTCCCATACGCTGATCATCTCTCGCAGCGTTCCCCACCCATCAGAGAATCACATTCACCTGCGGATCCAGATGTATGGTACGCCCTGCCTACCCGCTCCCGTGCATGCGGACCCGCTCATTCCATTCCCACAGATAACCTTTCGTCATTGACTGCCCTCCTGACTGCCCTCTCCAACCTTGACGACCTCTGCGTGGCGATCGAAGACGCATACAAAACTAGCCTGCGGTCAGACAACATTGAGTACTGGGACGAGAGCGGTTGAGCCTCACACGACGGTTCCGTCATTCCTGGTATCACACGCCATTACCTCTGTATCCTTATTCCTGTAGACGTAGATGCTCCATGCTTTCGATATGCTTTCGCGCATGCTGACAGTTTCCGTAGTAGGGTGTGAGCCGGATATATGAGACAACATGAATACTAGTACAGGCCATCATAAGACGGCTAACAATTTTCTCCTACTCATACTACTATCATACCCAGCTCCATGATCACTGGCCCTTGGATCTAGCTTTCACCCAGTATGATCCATGCGGGAACTCAAACTCAGCGATACTTGACTTGCGCATCTCAATACTGCCGTGTGAAGCGACAGTCAGCTAGAACGAGAGAATGGCCAGGAAATAACGTACCTATAGCCCTCCTTAGGATTGTTTGGAACGTTGTAGCGCCCGTTCTTGTTAATCGAGCAAGGATAGAGAAAATGCTCATGTAAGTGGTCGACGAACTCGAGCACGTTGCGCTCCATCGAGCCGGATATGGCGATGTAGTCGATTAGACTGATCGTGAAGCATCGTCAACGCACCACAAACGACAGCTCAGATCACCGCTGACCTGAGATGGATCACATATTCACAGAGACCGACACCGCCCGCGTGTGGGCAGACGGGAACGCCGAATCTTAACCCGCCGATCAGTCTCGTTATTACGCGACTAAGCGATGAGGTACACGCACTTCGCGGCCATGAGTAGCACAGCGAGTACCTCGCTGACACCACCGAGACGACATGAGTCGATCTGGCAGACGTCGATGGCTTCTGCCTGCAGGAGCTGCTTGAAGATCATGCGGTTGTGTGCGTGCTCGCCAGTCGCAACGCCGATGCCGTAGGGCTTCAACGCTTTGCGGATAGCAGCGTGCCCGAGGACGTCATCGGGCGCAGTGGGCTCCTCAATGAACCTGTCGGAGCCGCAGTGAGCTGGCGACTGACAGCTCGAACTGATACGCCCTCACCAAGGCTTGATCTCCGCCAGGTATTTGACATACTCGATCGCCTCGGGGACGTCCCACACCTGGTTCGCGTCGATCATGAGCACGCTGCCCGTCGGGCCTGCGTTCTTTCCGACGAGCTCTGGGCTGTTGGGATCGCGCGGTTTCTTGCCTGCGGGAAGGTACTGAGGGTCGTCAATGATCGAGCGGATGATCTTCCCGCGGCGCAGGTCTGAGTCGCGGTCAGCGCCGACCTTCATCTTGAAGTGGTTGAAGCCCGCCTCTATGGCCTCGCGCGTGAGCCGCGCAATCTTCTCGTCGCTGTATCCGAGCCAGCCCGCGGAGGTCACATATGCGGGATAGCCGACCTCGCGCACCGTCGCCTCGCGCTCGGCCTTGGTCGCGGCCTTTGTCTTGAGCATCGCGAGGGCCTCTTCCTTTGTGATCGCATCTGTGATGTAGCGGAAGGCTGTCGCACTGACGAGCTCCTCCTGTTGGACAAATGAGCAAGTACACCGTGAGCGAATATGCTGCGGCGTACAGGCGTCATATCCACGACGAGTTTCCACAGTGGCTTGTTCCGGAAGCGAGCGTACATGTCCCAGAGCGCATTGTCCACCGCACCGAGCGCGATGTGAATAACTCCCTTCTCCGGGCCGATCCTGGACGAGCGGGGTCATGAGCCCCTGCTCTACTAAGCGGCCGAGTCCATATGATGCACGCACCAACGTAGCTGAGGATCCGCGCAGAGGTATTCCCAGGTCTTGCCCATATTGCTGAAGAGCTTCTCAACGTCCTTGCCCACCAACCGGTTCGCAAGCTCCTTGATCGCCATGCAGACGATGTCGTTTCCGCGGCCGATGGTGAAGGTCATACCGTAGCCGACGAGACTGGACGAGGTCAACAGTGTCACGTACGCCGAGGAGTAGTCGCACTCCGTGTTCATGGCATCCGTACCATCTCCCGTGAGGGAGGTGGGGAAGCGGACATCTGCATGTCGTGCAGCGGTCAGACTTCCGCATGTATTGTGCGCACAGCACTGGGAACGCACCGTGCGTCTCATATCCGGTGATGGTGATGGGCATAGCAGCCTGTGAGCAGGTGTGAAAAGAGGAGGGTCGGTGGGTCACGACATGTCTGGTAGGTGTTTATATGCACGGGCAACCTCGAGTTCCTCCCCGGTACCCCCCGGTCCGCACGGCCCGCGCGCCTCAGCTGTCGCAAGTCGGGCGGAAGAGCGGCGACGTCGACCGTGCTCATCCCGTTCGCCGTCCGCAAAATTGGCTCGAATCAGTCTTCATGCTCTCATGCTGCGAGGTATCTTGACAGGCCTAGCCTTGGAGCAACCGCCGTCTGTTTTTGCACTTTCCATGCACAATGCTAGTTTCTGCTAGCTACACTGTTATGTGAGAATCACATATTTCAATATTATTCAGGAGTAACCGCACGCCATCAATTAAGACCTCTGTTATATCCAAAATGTTCATCGCGGAAGAGCAAACAGAGACCTGCCTGTTTTGGTCATCAGGTTGCCATATTCGGAAAGCTTCTCTGGTAGGTGGCCCGCTGTCAGACTGCTAACTTCGTTTTTTGTCAGTCAAATTATGAGAGAAATTTATTTTGATGTCACTGTTCATCTTGCTGCACACCACAACGCATACAGCAGCTCTATAGTGAGATCAGATCAATACACTATCAGGATGCCGCGCAGCTCGCTGTTCCCGCTGAACGACACGGTTCTAGTCTTCTTGCATCCTGATGACACGCTACTTCCCTCGCCAATCGTCGTCCAAGTTTCTGTGAAGATAGAGGGGTAGGTAACATACAAATTTTGCAACTGTTGCAAGTCAAGAGCGTTTACGCTCACCATGGATACCGATTCGCAGCCCTGAGAGGGTGGAGAGCATCGCGGCATATTTTAACGCTCAGCGCGATATTGCAGTACGGCGGTACTTAAAAAGTTATATGGCAGTATTTATCTAACGTCGACGATTGACAGGACCTCGTCAAGCGCGTTATTACCGCTCACCTGCGCGAACCGCTCCCCCGACCAGTAGTGTTCGAAGGAGACGCATATACTCTGGCTGCAAGTGGGTGTACAGGTCGATTGTTTCAACTGTAGATCAATGACAGGTATGCAGGGTGTGTGCGATGGACATACGGAAAGAAAGTCAAGCTGGCGTGGGGAGAAGAGGATGTGCTCGCTGGTGACGACAAATGGGTATTCGTTTTCAGGCCGAAGTAGTTCTTCTACATTCGCGCCTAGTATCACATCGAGGAGACAATTCATATGGTCATGAAGATACGCATATGTGATGGATACGGAACAACGGCGCACAACCTACGATACAACCGGTATCTTGTGGAAAAAATCGACGACCTAGATGACACGTCACACCAGCTTTTGATTCTCAAGTGACGAAGAAAAACAATTGAGGGAGCAATGCTTACCAAGAGATGGGCCGCTACTTCAACCTGCGATTTTCAACTACATCCCAAACGATATACTGGCCAGCGTTTTCGTCGAACCTGATGGCATACGTCTTGATGTCATGCATGGGTATCAGGACGCCCACACAGATCAACATGCCCTCGGCGTTCTGCTGGAATCTCTTCTGGGCTACTCGCAGTGTTAGAAAGAAATATAGTGCGGTTGTGACTAGTACACGTGCTCTTCATCGCATGTTTTACAAGTGGACGCGCCACAAATCCTCCTACGGTTGATGCCAACACAGGCGAGAGGCCAACGAGGCCAAAAGCCGCCGTGGCTCCTCCGACTACACCGGCTGCGCCAGCTAGCCATCCTGCGGAGATGTCCAGTGCAGTATTGACGGAATCTTCCGCGGAGAAACGGTTGTCTATGGTGTCTACGCGCACCTCCAACTTGAATGGCGTAGACGGGAGGTGGGTCTTCCAGGACTTCCCCGCGCGAACTGCATTCTCCCAGTCTGCAGGAGCGACGAAGCGGAAAGCAATGTTGAGAGTATCATGTGTCTCGTTGATAACATATACGTCTGGCATGGTGGGTGCGCTTGGGTGGAAGTTGGGGCTGAAGAAACTTTTTTTTTCTCGTTGGCCTATAGGTAGGTCTGCTCCTATTAAACTTTGATTAATCCTCGAGATGTCATACTGCGTATGGTGGTTTGTTTGACGCGTTGAGAGGATTTCATAAGGGTCCATGGACGTTATCGACTCGGATGTCGGGACACATAATTATGTCAACTGGCTCAGAATGACTCGAGGGAGTGACTATCAGTTGAGAGTCACTACGCGCCTCCGTCTGAGAAGAATGCACTTGTTGGAGCCGGGATGCAAAGCGGGAGAAAATCAGATTATTGCTTGTGCAGCATATACCGCACGGGCCTGCATGGGAGCCGAGCTACGCCTACGGCGGCGTTCGACGCACCTTTTGCGCAGCACCTTCCAATGGAAGATGTACGCAGAACCTTACGACGAGCTCTCGTTTCGGAGGTTCGGTAGACTCAATCTCCTGTGAGCATATGTTACGGCAGCGGATTCGGCTGCAATTGGAATGAATGTTTCGGTTGTAGGGACGATCTGTCATCCTTCCCAGAAGATGCAGGGAACATCTGAAAATGCGCAGCAAAACTTGTAAAATATATTCGTTCTCATGCAAAATCCAGCCCAAAGCCATTTAGCGATGATACAGTGAACAGGCTTCCCAGGTAGTGCATTTTAACGAGCATATTCTGCTGCTCTGGAACCAGGACAGTACGCACGCGGCTCTGCACGTTCTTCGAAACAATTCTATAAGTAGATTATCAATGATTAGCTGTGGAGAAGCATGCACGATATTGCATGTTCTTACCTGTATGGACCAAGTGATTCCTACGACATCTTGCGGTTCTCGTCCACATCCCACAGACTGTACCCCTGTCCTTCATCGAAACGGATCGCGAACGTCTTGTTATGGAAAGGAATCCATACGCCACCGACGGTAATGACCATCCCGTCAGCATTTTGCGCAAAACGCGCCCCAGCTGAGACCTGCCATCAGCGGTGCACAGAGTTACAATGGCGAGAAAGACTGACCAGCCATCGCGTGTCCCATCAACGGCCCCGCTGCAGCCCCCCCAACGAACGAACCCATGAACCCTCCCACTACGCTGGCGGTGCCGGCCAACCATCCTGTCGAGATGTCTACCGCTGTTCTTGCAGAATCTTCAGCCGAGAAATGATTTTGTTCGGTGTCGACACGAACTTCAATGGTGAATGGTGTCGAGGGGAGATGGGTGTGCCAAGAATCTCCAGAGCGGAGGCAGTTCGTCCAACTGGCAGGGGCAACGAACCGGAAGGCGACGTTGAGTTGCTCAGGTGTTTCATTACGAACAGTAACGTCCGGCATGGTGGAATGCGAGTGATGAAGAGGAAAGCTAGATTCGGAACCATTCCATAACTTTCATACAGCGAGCGCGGCATCCATGAGCCAATTGTGCTGTGAGGATCTCGTTAAGGTCCGCAGACGGTGTTAGGGGGAAATCCAGAGAGCGAGGCCCAGAATGATTCTCTTTTATGTTGTAGACGGCTCAAGAATAAGCGTAGAAGGGCTTGAAAGATCGAGAGAGGTTTTGAAGCGGCCCTGCCAGTGCTAGACGGGACTGTGCCGAGAGCATGCGTTTCTTTGCACACCTAGTAGTAGTTGTGCAGCGCCTTCCATCAATATCTCGTATCTTCAATTGCGCGCGTTCCTTCTCTCAACCTCCTCTTCCAACCTCATCAATCAGCCAGGCGTGTGTTTTTCATTAAACACAACTTAGAGATGAAGGTGCTACCTTGGCTGCAGCGATGGCTAGTCGGCCATGTGCTTCGAAAGAGAACGAGAGCGAGCGGTATTTCTGTTTGGGTATCAATGGAAGTTCGAAAAGTATATTCGTTTCTATGTACTGCCGTTCAAAGCCATTAAACCGTAGTCCAGTGAGCAGGCTTTCCAGTAGTACATTGTAACGAACACACTCCAGTGACTCTCTCGGAATGCTACACGTTACGCACCGACCATTCCGCGTATGACCTGCAGACACATTTAGACCTTCATCAAGGAACAAGCGGATTTAAGAAAGGCATTATAAATTTCAGCTTCGAACTCAGTGATAGCAAGCGGCATGGTTGTAAATTTGAGTCCCGAAGAGTTTGTTCCCGAGACGTTTTGGAGAATGCATCTTTCCCTTGGCAAAGGTTTAGTGATTCCAGAAGGAGAGAGCGCGGAGCATTCAAGAATCGGATGTCATCAAGCTCGACGCTACACTTTCAGTGAGGTTTAAGAACTGAAGGAGTCGCCAGTAAAGTTGGTCCATGGATAGTAGACTGTCGAATTTCTCTTTCCAGTCCACCAGAAAAAACTGATGGCAATTAAGACAAGTCAGCACTACTAATCAGCACCATAGAGCACAGAGCTTAAAACGCCGGAACAAACACAGCGCAAGTGCGAAGGATTCAAGTTCGAGCTGAGGTGGCGCCCAGACTACAGTAGGCGCTAGAGCACCGCTTTGTGGGGTCGAGCGCCTATGCGTTTCTCCCTGCGATAGTTCTGTGGCCCTCCTGCCTCCTGCGTACTCGTCTCCAATTAATGTGCGCCGCATAGCTGGAACATTTGCTTATATTTCTATCTATCTGGTATATTTGCCCGCGGGACTGATTGTGACAAGGTGCTTTACTCTGGCGTCATCATGATGGATAGTCTCTCGTTTGATGAATTGGGCTCATGGGATGACATCTCGGACACCGTTTCTCTTCTAGAGAACGAGGACCAGCATGATCCACGAAATATGTGAGTATTTGGTATTTTTAAATATATCTCAAATTGACGATAGATGCCCTACTACAGCGATCCTCGCCCAACACCACAAGAGATCGTTGACATCGACAAGTCCATAGTAGAGCTCGAAGCAGAGCTCGTCCGCCTCAAGTTGAGAAGGGATCAAGTTATGGCTGATAGGGCACTCATCACCCGTCTCCCCTCTGAGCTTCTATCCCGCATCTTCGAACTAGGCGTGTACGGTGATTCAAATTTGCTCCTTGCCATTTCCCTCGTCTCCCACCATTGGCGGAGCGTCGCGCTCGTTACTCCATCGCTTTGGACGTACATCGTGTTGGACTCCCAGTGGGGCCTCACCCGCATACCCGCCTTCATGCGCCGCTTGCGTGCGCATCTCGAGCGTTCGCAGACATGCAAGCTTCTTGTCGACCTCGACATAAACTGCATCGATAATCAAGAGCTGCACGATGTCATGGTCGTGCTCCGTCCAGAGATGGCGCGCTGCTATAATTTTCGCGTGTTCGCTCCTTGCTGGGACTCATTGCGGCTGATACGGCCTTATCTGACTATGCTCGGTCCGGCGTTAGAGCAGCTGTGCATGCGCGCAAGCATGTCGGACATCGAGACGCCCTATCACTCTCTCTTGGGGCAGCCATGCCTGCGGCTCAAGACGCTCGTTCTCCAGCAGCTGCCACTGTCATGCGTTGATGTGGAAATGCCTCAGCTGCGACGGTTGGAATTGATATGCGACCAACAACATCGCCGCTCATCAAATCGGCGATTCGGGGTCATGCTCAAGGAACTGCTCAATACAATTGCTAGAGCACCTGCTCTGGAAGACTTGCGCTTGCATTCAATCGTGTTTCTGCTCGACGACAGCAGGCACATATTCCAGGAAACGCTGCAGTTGACAACAATGCCGTCGCTGTGCACCCTCTACTTCCATACCGTCGACTCATTGAACATCTTGCTGTTTCTGGAATCTATGCATCTGCCTTCCCTGCAACGTCTCTCCGTATCCATGGACCCATCGGCAGATGAGAACATGAACTGGCTCTTGCATGTCTCGCACGCATCGCCGACGCGCATGCCTGCGTTGCGCCAGCTCGACCTTTGCACATGCAGTATCGACGGCACCGCACTGGCCCCATTTATCAGAGCGTTGCATCAACTTCCTCAGGTCACAGCGCTCTCGTTGTCATCACCGCGTCTAGGTTTCCTAGGAGCGCAGTTCTTCGACCTGCTCGCCGCTGGTCCGGGTACGACGGGTGCATGGATTTTGCCCCGCCTGCAGGCGCTTTGTCTACGGCAGTGTACGGACGTTACCGGACACGAGCTGCTACGAGTTGTCTCCGCGCGAAATGGCGCGTCCTTTTCGGAAGCAAAGGCTATCAAGTATTTGAAGATATCTCAGTGCGACGCATTCGATTCAGAAGTGCTGGACCAGCTTCATGCAGTTGTTGACTGTGTGAAGGTCATTTAGTCGGTGATTTGCCACTGGGGGCTGGCGCGCACTATCACCGCCATCTCACGCTGCTATGAATCTATTGTGGCCAAGCGATTGTCGACTCTCTTGCAATCATGCATAGATGCTAGTCCCTGACATATACCTTCCTATCTGTGGCTTGCAATGGCAGTGAGAATTCATGTTCGTACTGACTTCGCCCTTCATGTGTATTTGTACGATTGACTTTGTACTATGTCTGCGAACACGGACATTGGATTCAGCTCAATCTTCCCTTTGTACTGTAACCTGTTTCTTGCTGATAGCGGCGTGTTTTGCAGTGAAGCTTACGAGAATTAATTGTAGCTCTGCTCACCTAACAGCATGACAGACGAAATGTATGACCATGTTCTCGGCCAGTCGGGCTGGCCTTGAATGACTTACGTGTACTGTAATACATGTATTCCTGTGTCATCAATGATAATCTTCCGCATCTTGTTTATCGATGTGGGTTAGGCTGTGCTTTCAGTACCCTTCCATGATATACTGAACTACCTTTGTCTCGATGGCGCCGAAGACATCCATTACCAGTGCTTAATGTTCCACTGGCAGTGCATCAGGTGTGCTTGAAACCTGTGCATCATCTGTCAATACGCTGTCAACACCAATTCGCTGTCTAGTGGGGTATGGAAGACTGTCATCGCCAGCTTGCGCTATGTTCCTTGCATGCAGCAAAGGCAAGATTGGTTGGACCGGAGAGACGACCAAGCCATCAGCCTCATGTACTGCCAGATTTCGTCTTCCCTAGGCAGACCTATCTTTTCTGAGGGAGCGACGACAGGCGATACAGAGTGCCAGATTAATCCCGCGGTCCGATCGCTGTAGATCGCTACGGTTGCACTGGTATCCCTCGATGGTGATGATATATCTTCAGACATGGCCATTATTTGTTTCCGTCTCGGGACCGTGCGGAACCCTCTCGTCAGTCCTTGGAAGGTGTGAATGCTGCATCTACCAGGTATTCAGGTAAAGAACCTGCTTCACGTGCCAAGTCTCGCAGTTTAGGTAAGTGATCTCCGGATGCTTGACAGTTAACGTTCATGGATGTGGGCAGAATGACGCAAGATACCAGTTTGTCGCCTGCACATTACATGGTCACCATGGAAATAAACTGGGCTACAGTCAATCTTGAGCCCGTTCCATATGTTTTCAATGACTCCATCGCACATCTCTTCGCATCCTCGTAAACTCCCTGTCTCACTGGGACACTCCAAACCCGTCAAGCTCCTCCACGACGGTCAAGATGATCCGCTGTAGTCTGATTAGCGCCTGAAACCCCCCTTTCTTATATTAAGGCGCGCACTGCCGAGCACTCCTCTGCTTTCATCCCGCTGGCCAGCGAGTGGCGCTCATGTCCAACTTCTCCGAAATTGACGCTTGGACCGAAATCAACGCTTGGACTCCCTTCTTGGCAGCGAAATACCTTTCTGGTGAGACATCGGAGCCCCCATTGTCATCTCAATAAGGTAGTCATAGAATGCAGCTGCCGCAGTCACTGTCTCTCTATATGACCATGTCTTGACATTGCACGATGAGATTGACCTTGTATGGCGTCAACCGTGGAACACTCTGCAGACCGTCGTCATGCTCAATCGATATGGTGGCGAATTGAGTATATGCTTTATTGCATACGGTACGTTTAGATATCCTGTCAATACGTGGATTCACTCACTGTCGAACTTCAATGATGCAGTTTTATCGGGGATTGCTCCTTCAATGACCACTATGGTGAGAATCACTTCGTAGCTCTCTGTTTTCAGCGGCCCATTCAATGACATGGACATTCGTAGACGTACGTCCACAGCTTTCCATGCGAAATCTTATCTCAGCCGCAACAGATGCCATGCTTTCGTCATAATCATCGTAATCTACGTTATTGCTGGCAGTGGATTATCTCAATGTCAGTACCTAGTAACCTTCATGGACAATCAATAATGTTGCTGATTGTCGATTGTGGCCAGTCGCACTTCTGTTGCGTGCGTACAGCATCTGGGACAGCAGGTCTTCAGTCAAGTATGCCTTCCAGGGTGGCTTCGTCCTTTGCATCGTGACCTCATTCGCTTGTGCGGTGGCTGCTACTCAGGAAGCCTATTGTATGGATATTTCGCTCCAGAGAGCTCCGTTTTCGCTAACGCTAGTGATACAGACCAGATCGGCTATTCGTCCGTTCTTAAAACCTGTGCGTTGGTCAGCCTGACCCCGGAAGGTCATTTCGTGGAGCTGATAATGGGCTCATGGGGTGCACTAGTAAGACAGATAGCCTATATGCTCCCAAGGCATATATTTAACATCATATTGCAGGTGCTCCTCGATGTATATGTTTTCGTGCTGATAGCCTTGAATGCAATGAGTAAGCCTCGGCGACGTGATTCTGAGATTCTGTCGAATCTCTATCGAGACGGTGTTCTCACATTCTTCGTACGTGTATTCATTTTAGTTCAGAAGGATGAAGGGCTTATCAGCGATCTTTACAGGCTTTTTTCGGTAAGCCGTCATCACGGATACTCTCAGCAATTCTTCTTAGATTTGTCGTAGCACTTCGTCTCCTTCAATTTCTTCCTAGCACGATCGGGAAGGTGAGCGAGTCTGCATGTGGCATTCATAAGCAACGTTTAAGAAGTGCAACGTAGCTAACACTGATATTTCTCACACCGATGTACGTCTTATCCGGCTATGCTCATCAGAGTTGGCAGCTGATATCTTGATCAGCATTGCATGGTCGCTGGATAACGTGCTCAGTTTCCGACTCCTGTTGAAGTTGAAGATGAAGGCCGTCGAAATCAAAGGTCGGCGTGGATGGAGAGCGGTAACCAACTATCCATCTGTATACATCATGGAAGAAGTGGAAATGGAAGAATTGTAGATTCTTCCATATTGAGGAGAAAAACTTTACACTGTCGCATTAAACAGTCAAGTCGTGTTCCTTCGCTCCGTTTGTCCCAGTGAAAGTGATGATCTATGCATGTCAGGTCACACGTCCAATTTCGTGATCCTTGACCCTGGCTACACAAGCAACGAGAAGTAGAACCTCCCTAACGTTGTTCAGACTAGAGTGATTGTTGCATCAAGAAGAGATATATTTGTCTGGTATTCCTAGCTTAGTCTCCCTTGTCATCTACTTCGAATCGGATGCAGTATCAGCAGTTCCTGTTGGCAGTTGGTCAAACCTGTCACAGAACACACCATGTGCCAGCCACATGCAAAGAAACGTTGAAATTGTATGTTCGACCTAGTCACTTAGTCTCATATCTGCGATTGATAAATGTACATAGGTTGCACTAGAGGCCAGTGAAAACTCTCAATGCAAGGATTGCCCTTGTGAGAAAGCATAAAGTGGATGACTGACGTATTCAGCCGCGCTAGTCCTCCATGTCTACAGCGCATTGACATGTGGCTCCACGACTTGCTCTATTATTTCTGTGGGCTTTGACCGCCATCATCAGCCAAGTACTGCTCTCTGCACCTCTTCCGCGGTCAATATGTTCAGCTTGACACCTACAGTGAGTTGCGGGCTTATGGTTGACGAACTGCGGGTAATTGTTGCATTCTTGCGTGATCGCATTGAAAGACGATCAAACATTCCTGCTTCCAGGCAGCTGGGCGGGAATGATGAGAGTCGCCAGAGCTTGTATATTTTTGGGCCTTTAATGGTCATCGATCGTGCGGACTATATTTGACGCTTATATATCATCTTCAGTATGTCAGTTGAGTGTGCGTTCCCTTCTGCAGACGTCAAGCTGTATTACAGGCGGCTGCATCTCATCCCATTGCTACCGGCCCTGATCGGAAAGGTATGCGCACCTAGCAACAATCACAAAGATCGTGAAGGCTTATTGTGCTCCTAGCCAGGTGGCGCTGCCCTCACTCCAACGTGAGCGTATGGATATCCAAATCATCCGCTGATGTGCTAATTTTGAGATAGCGCTGCATGGGCGTTGGATAACATCCTCAGCTATATATCTTCCCTGAGGCTGAAGACTGTTGAGATACATCTGATACGAGGATGGTTGCTCACCTCGGATGAACGTAGAATATCAATCACGGAAGAGATCCAGATGGATGTGATCTGAGAGTTTTAATGAGCCAAGGAACGAACATGGCTAAGTGGTGGTGACATGGAATATATTTTCACGTGTAATAGGTCTCGATTGTAGCGAGCGGCCAGATGTGATAGAATGAGTCGCCAGGGTGGGGGGGGTAAAAGGATAAATGGGACCGACTACTACACAAAGAGATGCGGGTATATATCTTTGCTGAACTGATGGTCCGAAGCAGGGTATATGGCTCTGGGACCGACGTTTCCAGGTTATGGTGTTTACCACATTGACCTTTCAACCATTTGGTCCCGGCTTCTCTTGTAGTCAGGGCCTCTCGAGGGTCAACTGGTTGGCCTTTGCATGAATCATAGCAAACCTACCCTACCCCAGCGAGGGATGAATAAGGCCAAACGTGCCACATGCAACGCTTCTACGCAAGGTAGAAGCACAGCCACACGGCGAACTGCCCATATAGTCCGGGAGCACCCAGGTTACATGTCATCCACACTCCATTGGTAGCTCTCGAGGCCACGCCGCCGCCTCTCGTTCTGGTGCTGGAAAAGCTTCTTCTCGAACCCATTGCCACGATCTGCGACAGAGCACGATGAGCAACAGCGCAATGGCCTAGAAAAGATTGAGGTACGCACCGACACCATCCCACCTGTAGCCTGGCTTGATACCAAAGCGATTTGGAGGAGGCGGCGGCCCTGTGTACTCGGGCCTCCTCGGTCCCTTCGATTTCTTCTTCTGTTAATAGTCGGAAAAATCAGTATAGGGAACAAACCAAACCAGAACGAACCGCACGAACCGTCAGGAAGGCAGCAGCAGGATCGTTCCATCGTTCCTGCGCCTTCAGCTCCATGTTTATCTGCACATCGTCTCGAGTCCGTGCAAACGTTTGCGACCGCACTGATTCCAACTCTCTCTTTCGCTTCTCCTGTTCCTCCCGCTGTACCAGACCTTTCCCCCACTCCATCTTCCGCGCCTCCTGGTCCTCGCGCTCACGCTTCTTCCGCGCAGCCTCTGCATACTCAACTGCGGTGTCTATCCGCCGTCCAGAGGTGTCACGATACACGGTCTCATGCGCTGCTTCACGTTCTCGCCGTTCCGCTTCGGAGGATTTGACGGGCTTTTCGCGTGGAAGGGTTTTCTTCAGCTGCGCGGAAGTGAGGAGGCCACCCCGAACAGTTGACATTTCTTCCTCTTGGACAAGCTGTGGTTGTTCGTCCGCCGCTGGAGGTGGGCTCTCTGTGCCGTGACTCCCCTCGCGAAGCGTAGCCCAACCGGAGCCCTCTTCTGTGCGTTGCCGCTTCTTGAAAGCGCGATCTTCAGCAATGACCGCCTCTGACATATCTTCATCCTCGCCACCTCGTGCATCGTTGTCCCAGCCTAGTATGTCGTCGTCTTTGATTATAGACGAGCTAGCGGTAGAGAAGGATGTAGTCACGACTTTGCGTTTCTTTTTCTTTGACGGACCAGTCGTTCGTGAGAGGATGGCTTCTGCCTTTGGTCCCGACATATATTTCGCGGCAAGGTATGCCTTCATTGAAGGGTCTGACATGTTGCGTGATGTAGAGAGTCAAGATGGAACAAAATATTATATACGAAGGACGAGTTGCTTACATAATGCACACGTAATGCACACGATCACCAGGTCACTTAACGCGAAAGCCGCGTATCTTTCTGTACTCATCATGTTCACGACAGTCTTCTATATGCCTGCGAGGAGCAATTAACGCAACCGGCTTACTTCTGTCTGGTACCCTTCGGAGATGACTTGATACAATGTGTTACAATGTCAAAAAATTTGATAAAGGCCATCCAGTAGGGCCTGCTCGACAGAAGGTTAACTGTATGGAGGGACGATCGCTCTGCAAATCACTTTTTTTTTAGAGAGCATCAATAAAAAAAGGAACTGAATACCGCGCTCGATATACCGGATAAATCAGATTTCTGCAACAGGTCGGTCTCCCTCGCCGAGAGCGACCAGCAAGTTCATTGACCTTTTACTGGCGAACAGGATAAATTTATCGTCCGTGAAGACCGTTCAATTATCCAGGCTGAAGAAGGAGCGGTACGACACCAGCTTATGTCCGGAAGCTGTTTTTTTTTTCAGGCTGATTTACAGGCCATGCCATGTGTGCCGAGACGACGCGAAGACGGCCTCGTAAGCAGGGTGCTTCACGTGCATGAACGTCTGGTAGTATCCAGAGGATCATCCTGCAAATCCAAACAGACGGTCTACGAGGCGGGCTTCCAGCTGCTCTGACATGGGCGCTGCTCGCAGGCCATCCCAAGGTTGAGCCACACACTTTCCGTTTTTGATCCTCATCTGAAAATAAATCGCCATCAAAAAGCATCCGTGCAAATTCGACATGAAACGCATGAGCTTCGTCGCTGTTCATGAAACGTCCAGAAGCCCAAAAACGAAGACTTCCATCAACGAGCGTGTGGTCCATCACCTGCACATCACAACCCTCCCATATAGTATTAGGCACACATCCGACAACTGGGACCTACCAAAAGATTAGAGTCTGGCATGTGCATGCTTACCCCTTATCAGCCTCACCCCACCTCCCATGGCGAGGCCCACTTCGCCCACCCATCCACCATACACAATCACCCACACGCACACACTCTTGGACCCACCTTCTCTCAGGAACGGACACAATAATAAATCGCAGAGCCTAGCACCGTGGGGATCAAAGATCGATATCTAGAACACCGCCCGATCGTGCAGGTCCTAGCGAACATCGCGAAGTCCGACTACCAACCTCTACTATCTTTTTGCGGCCTCTCAGATCTCATTGTTCTATGCGTTCGAGGAGCAGAAAAAGGGTATATACTTACGTACGTATATGACAACACGAGTCTGATAACATAGCGGCATATCCAGGTAGTACAGCACAGTACGGGAGCAGCAGCAACAACAACAACAATTGCTCCGCTCCACCTCGCCGTTACCACCGACAATCAGAGAATATATATACTACGTCATACTCAAGCAACATCAGCACATCACGGTTGTGTTAATCGATAAGCATTTTGATGCAGTCGATACAGAGTATTCATGTTTGAGATCGTAGCCAACTTGACATAGAAAAGAGAACGAGCACATTATGGCAGGAAGCAGGAGTCGAGAGATGGAGACACAGAGATCCGAAAGAGGAAAGCAAGGGGGCTCAACGTGAAATGGCGCAGACTCTACAGCGCCGTGTAATTCCCTGCCAGATTTATTGAAAACGTGAGTAGGAACAGGCTTAGTAGAGAACAACCCATGCACGCACATATTCGCGCCTGCCAGTCGCCACTGCCAGTCGCCAGAATGTTTCCCGCCGGACTCAAGTCTATTGAGATCACTGCGGCACATCATTACCATAAACACCCGTCACCCAATGCATGGCATTCATGCTCACCCGAATTCTTGTGCCCCTGCAGCATACAATGCGCAACCGCCGTCTTCGCATCCCAAAACTGCACCCCGCGATCTTTCGATCCGCTCACGACCCACTGGCCATCATGCGAAACTGCCACGCTCAGCACATAATCCTTATGCCCCGTAAAGTTCATCGTGCATTGGCTGCCCTTCTCACCCTTGCGTCCGCTCAGGATCGGCCGAATGTCCCAGTACTTGAGTGTCTTGTCCAGGCTGCCCGATACGAGGCCCTTCCCATCGGGTGTGAACGCGACGCTGTACACGCTGTCCCTGTGCCCCTTGAGCCGCTCGACGAGCTGCCCAGTGGTGACGTCCCAGATGCGCACAATTGTGTCGAGTGAGCCCGCAGCGACGAATCGCCCATCCGGCGAAATGCAGACAGAGGTTACGCCCGCATCACCCTCGTTCTCATTGATTGACACTGAGAGCGCAAATAGGGCAGATCTCATCCGTCAATGGATGAAACCCGTGGAGAAGACAGCGTTAACGCACAGACTTTGCTCAAGACACCCTCTTGCATGTCCCAGATCCTAGCGGTCTTGTCCCCTGAGCCCGAGACGATCAGCCGCCCGTCTTTCGAAAAGTCGAGTGAGTAAATCTCCTGCTGGTGCCCGTCAAACACGTTCCGAATGCGCTTCTTCGCGATGTCCCAGATCTACGGGGTTCAAACGGTTAAGCGAAAAGTCGAGAGGAAAAATTACGCGACGCACTCGGATCTGCTTGTCCTCCGCGCCTGTCGCGAGCAGTTTCCCGTCAGGGCTGAAGCACACGCTGCGAATGTAAAGATCGCCCGTCTTGCTAGCAGCTTCGTCCACCAACACACTGTCGAGCGCATCATCAGATCATGGAGCACACCGCGTCATGACGGTTCAGCACAGATGTAGAGGTATAGCCCGATATGCTCACCAAGTCTTCTGCCCCGTCTTCGTATCATAAATCTGCGCCGTCCGGTTGCACCCAGTCGCAAGGTACTTCCCATCTGCCGAGAAGCGCACACAGCACACCACGCTGCTCGTCAATGACACACCAGGCGCAGATCACGATATCAAAGACATTGTGTACCGTTAGCCTCGTCGAAGTCTAAAAGCCTATATGCGCCCACATACCTCTCATGCATCAATGTATGCACCAAGTTCACATCCAGTGTCCGCTTCTTCTCCTTCCCCGCGCCCGCCGCATTGGGGTTGAACACCGCAAACCAGTCGGCGCCTTCCTTCTTAAACTCGGGCGGCACGGCCATCGGGTCCATACTCAACTCCGTTCCCGCCTCCGGATTCGTGGGCGCAGCGGGAGAAGTGGGCGCGGGCGCGGCCGGGACAAGCGCAGTGGATGAGGACACATGTGCGGGTGGCGCGGGCAGGGAGGCCGGGGGAATGGCGTTAGAGGATGATGGCGGCAGAGTCGGGAAGGGAGGATTGCCTGTGAATGTCGGCGTTAGCGGGGTTTGCATGAAATATGCTAGGATTGGCGATAAAGCGAGGGAGTTTGAGGTCTCTCAAAGGGAGAATTGAAGAGAAACCAATGTATGCTATGCAGTCATACTCACCAGTACCGTTCACCTCCCTCTCCTCTCTTCCCTCTCTGTCTCTCACTGGCATCGGACCCTCTCTCTCCCTCATCGGACCCTCCCTTGAATCTCTAATCGGGCCCTCCCTCTCTCTCATCGAAACGTCTCTCGCCTCCCTTTCTCGAACCTGCTGCGGTGCTTCCCGTCCGGGTCCCTGCGTCGCTGGGCCTTCTCGTGCACCTTGAGTCACATACGTCGGGGGAGGAGGCAGTGGCATAGCCACGCCCATTCCCACACCAGGAGTAGGGGGCAGCTTCGGTGTCACCTGTCCCGCAGGCGTGCTCACAGGAGGGGTTGGCAGTGCCGTGGGGCCAGAGGTCGACGACGCAGATGGAGGCACTGCAGGTCCGAGCGAGATGCTCTGCTGTGCGTGAGCAATCGCATGCGCATGATGAGGAGTGTGCGCGAGCGGATTGAGCGAGGGCGAGAACGGGTCTGCGAACGAGAGATTAGTACATTATGGATGTATCGACAATCGCACGCCTTACCACCGCCACGGTCAGACTTCATCCGCTCGGTTTTAATACGCTTGACTTCGCCCCTTTCGCGATCGGCGCGCTCCCTTTCTGCGCGCTCACGTTCGCGTTCACGGTCCATAGCAGTGGCGCGTTCTCTCTCGATGCGTTCTCGGTCCCGTTCGTTCAATATCCGCTCGCGATCTCTATCGCGCTCTCTTTCGCGATCACGACTGTAGAACGGGTCGAATGCGGCACCAGGGCCAGCAGGACCGACGGGCGTGAGCGGAAGAGGGGCGGCCTCCTGGGGACGGGGGATGGGAACGCCCGGGGCGGGAGCCATGCGGATATCGCCATCACGGTCTCGGAGGTCGCGGGCTTCGCGGTCACGACCGAGAGAGGCGAGACCGAGGTTGTCGCGTCCCTGAGAGCGGAGGGCATGGAGCTCTGTGCGGAGGGCGCGAATTTCGTCCTCGTACTGCTGACGGATCTTGCCATGCTGAGTCTCGAGCTCGTAGAGAGACTGACGAATTATGTTGAGCTCGTTGACCTGGCCAGTGACTGAGAGGCGCGGGGCGCGGGGCGAGAACGGAGGGCGTGTATGCCATGTGAGTGATCGGAAAGTGCGCGTGGATGAGACGGGAATCAGGGCGGAACAAAGAGCGATGCGCACCTTTGTTGTCGAGATCGTCTCGCTGGGTGCGGAACATGTCGAGCTCCTGGATGAGCATGTTGAACTCTGCACGGATAGTCTCAAAGCCGTCGTTAAGGCGAGCATGACTTGAATGCTGCTGGGACGGGCCCTGAGTCGAGGCACCTGTCGGCTGGAGATGTTTGTGCTGCGAGGAAGATGATGGGATCAGCAATGGAGTGGAGGGAACGAGGAGGAGACGCACGTTGTAGATGGAGGAGGACATGGTGGAGGTGAGAGGAAAAGAAGCGCAAGGGGCGTCTGTGCGATGGACGACTTAAGTCTGCGCCCTCGTCCCTTGCCACACGTGGCGTCCCCGATCCCATCTCGCGCACTCCCACGCTTTCCATCCCGCCGGCTTCTCTTTATTCGTCAGGCGCCAATCTCGATCTGAATGACGAGGACGAATCACCGACCCCGGCGTCTCGGCCCTGATCCATCGATCTCCGCGCTCAATCGGCCATGTCCGGAGCTCCGTGCGCTTTTGGTCGCCGATCGCCGCGTGGCCACTACGCTTTAGGTGTCAAAGCAAAGACTCACCATGAGGTGCCTTTAGGCAGAGACTCGCAGGCAGTCTATAAGGCATTCGCGCTTGTAGTCGTGCCCCCGACACAAATCTTTTTACCGATCAAAATCAAGACATAGCAGTGTGATTGTAGACCTTACAAAGCAGTAACAGAATAACAGCATCAGCATTTGCGGCGCCGCCGAGAAAGCAAACAAAAACTGTGCTTCTGATGAGGACGAAAAATAGTGGCTAACTCACACTGAGTCTGATGGGCAGTCCATCACACATATATTCTAGACTTCCGAGGTTCATAGCATAGGTCGCAGGGCAACATTCATAGCACAGCAGAACACTCGTACACGTGCAGCAGAACAAGGGACGCATCAGAACTATCAACCCCATCGACTTCTTCCTCGTCCTCGACCGTACCCACCACCTAACACTCCACCCCGGCCATGCATACTGAACCGTCCTTGCGAGTGCTGGGCGGAGCCGTTCTGACGTGCTTGAGCGTACGAAGATGTCGATGTGAATTCTATATGCGAACGCTTGCTGCTCTGTGCAGATGCTTGCTCTGAGCGGGCCTTTTGGTCGGCAGCTTTGAAGGAATATCGCCCGATCGAGGCGCGTTGGCAAGTTGATGAGGCCGGGCGGACACAGCAACAGTCAGGTCAAAAGAAGTAGGGCATGAAGAGAGTTGTCGTGGGTTTTGGGGCGCAGAAAGCACAAATGGACCCATGGCCATATCGTCCAGCAAGTGTACGAACTGATGTGAACACGATGCCACTCAAGATCAAGGCGCATTTACACATACCGATATGGCTTGCGAACCACTCCTCCCTCATGTCCGTCGGGTCCCATATGTGCTGCGGAAAATTGGTCGCACGCTCATCGACGTCGACGAACTCGACCAGCTTCGTGTATAAGTGAGGGTTACGGAACGAACGATTCGACATGAGTGAATCGTTGAAGTGCGTTGGGTTGACCGAGTCTCTCTTCATGGCCAGGAACTCCGCAAGCTTCGCCTGACAAAGCCAAGTAGATTTGGGTCTGCGAATTCTGCGAGCTAGACACGACGTACCTCAAGCGCTGGATCGCATGCTTCCGTGGGCGCAGGCGGGATGCCCCAGCTCTCCTCGCCAGGAATCGGAGGAGGTCGCAGCACTGTTCGAATACGCAACAGCTCGTCTTCGGGCTCTGTATCGTCGCGCACGCCTTCCGAGGGGGACGACTCTTGGATGGCCACGCTACTAACGTCCTCAGTGAACGTTTCCGGTGATTCTGTTTCGATGGCGTCGGAGTGTGTGCGCGGACGCGGACGTGGCTTTGCGTGTGCCGGACGACGGATGAGCGGCTGAGATCTCGAAGGTGGCGGTGGACGCTGAGGTGCTATAATGGCAGTCTGAGCGTCAATACAGGGAGGAGACACTGTAAATGCTCACTTTCTGTGTACGCATTAGCTATACCGTCCGACGGGGCATCCTAGCCGAGGCGAAAACACAGCGAGCAAAGAGGGAAACGGGAATGGCAACGCAACGGTGGGAGATCTCACATTCGCGGGATTATGAAGCTTAGTTGTACTGGCAGCGCTTTGTTCTTCCTCGGACTCCTCATCGTACGCGACAAGACCTACGAGCATGAATTCGTCGGTTAGCCACAATTCCCCACGCTCATATCATGCTTACCATGTAACATGTTTCAGGTAGCTTTCGTTGATCTCGAACGTTGGTTGTTGCACTGCAAGAAGTGCCACCCAGAGTGATAATGCACAAAGCGCAGGAAAGGTGAAGTTCGTTTCGCAACAAGCGTTACAAATCAGGTGCTGAAATAATAATAATAAGGAAGTTTATGTTATGTCTTCCATGTTTGGAAAATAAGATGTAGGGTTTATCGCAACTGATGAGGAATAATATTTTCATAAAAAACTTAATTTTCTTCTTTCAGGGAGCTCTTTTTTGATTACATTAATTAGCCATCGAAGGTGGTCCTGGGATGGTACTATGGTACTATGAAAAAGACAGATGAGGGGATGAGGTGTTCATCACTACTTTAGATAGTGGTGCAGGCTCCTTTTCATTCTTCTTCAAGTAGTCTGCTTTGTTGAGAATGCCCAGAGAGAGCAATTCGAGAGCACCGACTGAGGTTACCGTGGTGCCAGCCACATTACATAATATCTCAAATTGTATTCATATATATATATTATTCCTAATTGGGAGCTCGGCATATCAAGCTGAGCTCTCCTTGCCCTGCTCCTTCATCTGCTCGCTCATCGCACCAGATATTGGTGAGCGCAATAGGTTATGAGCCCCGGCAGTGCTCTATAACTGCATATTACAGCTATCAGAACCCATCAGCAAAAATCTGCGAGTTATATTCAAAGTGCAGAATTACTCCTATGCCGAAGAAGACTGACCATGCAGATTCTTATAATCCATACTGTATGCCATATCTTACAGAGAACAATTGGCTTTTGTGGAAGTGGCATGTGCAGCATGTATGGAAGAGGAAGCATTTTGCCAAATAGGTGACCAGCGAGATCCTGATTCCACAGCCCCTGCCAGATAGTAATGTGCCAGGCTCAGCCTCAAGCTGTAAGCCAGGCCAAGCTGAGCTGGGCCCCAGGAGTCAGCTTCGAGGAGCCCATGGCCCAGCTTGCTCTTTTGGAAAGCTGAGGCCAAGCTGTAAAGTCATGGCTTTATGGTGGTGTGCAAATCGGTGCTGCTGCTGTGACTACAGGAACAATATGGTACTCTACCATTCACAATGATGTTCCAACAGAGGCACAGCAGCTCACTGCAGGTGAAAAGGCTGCCGCTCTGTCAAGCAGAGGATTAAATGCTGAACATGCTGATCTGGAGATCGAACAAGTGCGTACATACAGTATTGTCAATGTCATGTTGGGCTGATGCTGCCTCACCGCCAGAGTGCATGTCCTTGAGATTGACAGCACATCACCAGAGTCAATCTGTACATCTGTGACAGCTTCATGGCTCCAAAATGTTGCTCTGCAGAATTTGGCAATATATGAGCAGCATGCTGCATATGTTGATGCACAAGGAGATATTTATCAGTGGGGCCACTGGGGTTCAGATGGCTTCAACCAATCTGGTTCATCTGCAAACATTGACATTGAAAGAAAAGGTGACTACTGTGCATCTAATGTGCTCACTTTGCATTTCCACTATACAGTACCAACAGGAGGGTGAGCTGGTGATAGCTTGCTAGGCACTTTGGGCTCTCAGCATCTGCAGCCATCTCACCACCATGCCATGCACTACAAGGTTTGGAAAAGCTGGGGCTTTGAGCTGGGCTTGAGCCATCTCCCTCACACCTGAGCCTGCTGAAGCTGAGTTGAAGCTGGAGCTTTTGAGCTGAGCCAGGCCTGGCACATCACTACTGCTGGATACAGTGACAGCAGAAGAGAAAGCAGCATAGGAAGCCAAGATCACAGATTGGAAAGACAAGAATAGTAAAGCAGCCAAGGTTATGTTGATGTTGATGGCCAATGATCAGCTCATTCATGTGAGTGAGTCAGAGACATCACACAAGATCTGAGAGAGTCTCAGGATTGTAAAGGAGAAGCCAGGTTATCATGGCCTCCTGGCATAGCAGTGTACATTGTATCAATCTAGAGCTCCAGATGACAGAGACATGGATGACTGATTGAAAGAACTGTGTCAGCTTCAGGAGGAGCTCCATCAAATGAGAAAGCTCATCCTGGATGATGAGTTCATTTCAATCATCCTCATGTCACTACCAAAATCTTGAGATTCATTCATGATATCCTATTTTGGTGTGGCAGGAGGCCAGTCACGATCTGGTAACAGAACTCAGATTGCATTGCAAGATCTCATCACAGTTATTCATGATGAGAACCATCACTGAAAGAGCTGAGATACCGAGCAGGCTGCCACAGGCACATCACAGACTCAAGCCCTCTTCACGCAGAATGCAGACCGAAAGAAGGGTAAAAGCATGATGAGACCATGTGACATCTGCAGTTAGAAGAATCATATCACACAGAATTCACCATGAAATGAATGCAGGAACTGTGAAAATGGGGGCACAAGACCTTGGAGTGCTATGCCCCTAGAGGAATCTTGTCAGAGAAATCATGAGATGAGCCATTGAAGAAGAAGCCAAAATGTGGGCGCAATGATCTGCAAACCCCTGGATTAAGCCACATCAAGAGAGATCAGGTGAGAATTACACAGGATGATGATGAGAATTGTGTATCATTAGGTTTGGATGATTCAGATGCTTTTTTCTATGGCTGGTTTGCAAATTCAGGAACCACCTCGCACATCACTTCTCGGCATGATGTTTTCTAGACCTATGAGCCACTGTGCAATCACTTAATCTCTGGAATAGGTCCAGCACCTGTCAAGGCCTTAGGCCATGACACTGTAGCCATTCAGAGTAAAGTCAACAGAATTTCACTCTTCATAATGTGTTGCATGCATTGACAGCACCCAGTAATGTCATATCCATTGCATGGCTTGATGAAGCCGGTGGAAGAGTACATATGGGTGATAGTCGAGTGATAATCATACAGTAGCTCATATCATCTCAAGACAGACCACAGGCATGAATGTCTCTATGTAGTCAACTCCAGAGATCTGTGAGTAGCCTTTCACCACTAAGTGTGCCTTGTATTTGATTACCTCACCTTTCTTGTTGGTCTTCTTGACCAGGACCCTACTTGTTGCCTATCAGTTTGTGATCTGAGGATGGATCTACAAGATTCCATGTCCCCATATCATGCAGCTGCTTCAACGCAGCTTGCACTGCTTGTTCTCAATGGGGCCACTCTGGTGAGTTCTTCACATCCTGTAATGATTTTGACTCATCTGGATCAACGGATGTGCACATTGCCTGGTAGATTACTTGGGCAAATGCAGCACTGTCCAGGATATCATCATCAACATTCACATGTGGATCATTAAGTAGCCAGTAGTTCAGATGTGCAATCTTCTGAGCTAATCTCTGAGGTTCTTCAGGTGCATGCACTTCTTCTGATCAGATCGTGACACATTCTTTGTAGACTCCTCCTTGCATTTTTGATCCAGTGCTGGCTCTCTCTGAAGATCTGGTGTGTCAATAGATATGAAGATTTGGAGCAAAGAAGCAGGGGCAAAATGATAATTGCAAGAAGTCTTCACAGCATGTGTGAATGCACCATAATATCAGATAGCGCATGGTCCATGGAGATAGCCAACGAAAATGTGTTTGATGGCTCGAGGCACTAATTTCAATAAATTAGTACTTTTATTTAATATCCACGCAGCGGATCTGAATTCATGTAAATATGTAATACTAGGCTTCCATGCATTCCACTTCTCATATGACATCATGTTGTGTAATGTGCACATAGGTGCATGATTTGTAATGTACATATGTGGCATGAGCCACAGCCTCTGCCCAGAGATAGTGTGGGATATCACATGTATATAGCATATGTAATGCATGCATGTGATAACAATGTGCAGTTGAGACATTCTGCGATCCCATTCTGGAATGGAGAATAGGGTGCAGTAGTATCAGTTTCAATTCCTTAAGATTGACACCATTGTGTCAGATCATTATTTAGATACTCATGTCCATTATTCATTGGAAGCTGTCAATGCTGATATCCATAATGATGATCAAGATTGGTCAAATAGAATTTGACTTTCTCAGTTGTCTCATCTTTTGTTTTCATGAATAATACTGTACTTACTGTATCTAGTACAGTCATCTGTGATTGAGATGAAGTATTGCCATCCCTGTAGAGCAGTCATTGGGGCTGGTCTCCACACATCTGTATGTGTTAATTCTTTGGAGACTGTGCTTCTTTCAGCTGCCTCTTTGAAAATGACTTCCTGATAGCCTTGGCTTGTACACAGGCTTCACACTCAATGTCATCTGGGCTGGGCATGATTTCTTGACCTTCGATCATATGCTCCCTGTGTAACCATGTGAGCGCTGGTTTCGCAATATGGTCATAAATTCTGTGTCACTCTTTCCAGGTGTGTGTAGTGTCTTCCTGTGCAACATATGCTAACTCAGGAGTGGTGTAACAGGTTCGAGATTTAATTAATAAAGCCTACCTTGTTTCTTATCTACAGCAAGTGTAGCATCATGCTTATCTATGTATTCTAGGGCTAGCTGCAATTTTTGATTGGGAAATTCAACAGATGGATGTCAAAGGCACCTATCTAAATGGAATCCTCAAAGAAGAGATTTACATGCATCAGCCTGAAGGGTATGCTGATCAGACTCACTGTATATGTAGATTACACAAAACCCTTTATCGACTCAAACAAGCTAGGCATGAGTGAAACATTCAGCTGAACCATAAGCTGATAAATGCTTCTTTTAGATGATTGCTTTCAGATCCCTGCACATACATTCAGGCCTGAGGTGAAAAAGTAGAAATCATTACTGTATGGGTAGACGATCTACTGATATTCACCAATGATCCTGAAATTATGGGTCATTTGAAGCATGGACTATAGACCATGTTTGAAGTCACTGACCTTGGTGATCTAAAGAAGATCATTGGGATAGAAATTAAGCAAGATCATGTGAAGCACACAATTAAAATCACTCAAAACAAATATATTATTTTTACTCTGCAAAAGGAAGGGTTAGTGAACTTAAACACAATAGGCATGCCTCTTGATCTGAATATTTTCCTCAAGAAGGAAGACATCGAGATCGGTGATGTGCAAAATTGTAGCAACAGATATGCATCACT